CGTTCTATCTCACGTATACCAAAATTCCAGGACCAACAAAAATGTTCGAACGACGTCAAACTACAATTCGAAATACGTCAAACAACGACGCGAATAAAAATTGCAACGATCCTGTCATGAAAGATAAAGTTGTTACGTGCGAAGTGCGAGTAAGTTCACGGGTAATTCTTTACTACGAAATTGGGACAATATCGATCGACCTTCGACCGTAACATCTGGATGTACACACGATCGATGTTTCGTTTACATCCACTCGGCAAAACACATGTCTTTTTTACTAAGAGTTCGCGACTCGGTTTTACACGAAATAATATTCCGAGTAAATAAAGACAAAAATTGAATGTTATCAAAAGTGTTTTCGCTTACCATAGCCTTTTCCTCTTTCGTCAGCTGCCACGGGTCAGAATAGTTTGACGTCGGATACATCGAAAACATCGTGTAATTGTGATCTTCGACGATCGTGTCGTAAAAGCCTGCGCTAGGTACACGTTGCGTCATCTGTGAGCGGTTTTGCTTTCAAAACTTCACCACAAGACAAACAAAAAAGAACAAAAAGTAGCTAGTTGTTCCTTCGCGGAAGAGTATTTAACTCGACAGTTTACTTTGAACGCGAGCCAAGAACACTTGCGACGAAACGAAATGGCACGGCACCTTTTTCTTGTTCACCGATGTCACGTTTCGTAAAAGCGTACTACGACCACGTCCGATCGAACTGATCGGACACGTATTAAATCGATAGAGTCTTTTATTTTCCTCGTCACTGTCACGTACAAGTTCAACCATGCAACAACGAGTCAACAACGTAACCGTCTAAGTGTCGTGTGTGCTTACGTATCCCAACTGAGCCCGCCAATGTAACTGGGAAACTATATAGAAAGACAGTCGCTCGACCCCCCACCAATCAGCGTCGAGCGACCACCACGTGACGTCATCGCCATCTTGATTGCTGATTCGCGCGATAGCTCGCGGCCAATCAACGTGTCCCGTGCACACCGAAATACTGTTCGTATCGCGGCGACTTCCACGGAATCGGGTAACACACCACGAAGAACTAGATCCCCTTTTCTAGGTATACTGATCGTTAACTTCGCATAATTTCCCGAACGTAAACCTAATCGAACCAATCTTCATCGTTTAACGGGATATACAGGTTAATTCGAACCGATGCTCGCAGAGTGATTCAATTTTGAGCGGTCATTTTGAGAGCTCGAATCTATCGCACGTCGCGAGATCTAATGGCGCGTTAGAGGCGATGATTTGAATGTTTGAAAACTGTAACGGATAAATATCAATCGATACGTAGTCGCGCTATAGTATTTGAATTTTGTATTGCCTTTTAATTCAATTATACACGTGTATCGATGTTGTAAGGTAACATAGACTTTAATTTACTTATGTAATACAGTACTGTACAGTTTTCTCACTTTCGGATACTGTACCGTAACGGTATTGGGAAATACCCGAGCAATATTGTTCATACTTCGTGTTTGAATATAGTTACGAACTTTTATAAGTACAGTTGTTATTGTAGCGATTGTACAACGCGTGTCAAGATAACCATCGTTGACTTAAGTAAAATGTAGCCAAAAATAAAATACTTGTATCGGCAGGTACATTGCTCGAAATTTATCCAATTACAGAAACCAGAGACTCGAAATTCTGGAAACAAGTTTAACCGTTAGTTGAATAATAGTTTATGCGATAAAGCGTGCACGTGTTTTATTGCGCGGCAGATTCGTGGCCAGATGCGTGCAACGGCGAAAAAATAGAAAAAATTATTGTGACTCCGAGAGGCTATCGCCGGGAGAGCAACAAATGCGGTTCTCACTTATTTCGGTACGGGGAATTCCCTGATGTATGCATGCACGGTGTTCGTCTCTTTGTTCTTGTTTCGATATGCACACATACGTGCGTGCACACGTGCAACGAACTCGACGAACTCTGCTTGTCCGGTGCAACGTACGTGTGAACGCACTTTGTCCAAGAATTGAAAAAAAAGAAAGGAAAACACTACTGTACTCGTGGCTGAGAGATCATAAAAGCTGTTAGGAAAAAACAAGTCCGACAAACTCCGTCAAATTTCATAATTACCTTTGCAATTAAGAACATTTTTTGCCTTTTACCTCTATATTTGAATACTGTTTTAATTAGCGAGTTTGTTGCAACGGTCAAACAAATTTAGTTTTAAACGTTCGAAAACTTGATAAGATAATAGCAAATTATGTATGTTTTGAAATAAGAATTCGTTGAAGATTGGTCACGTTCCAAGTGGCATTTAAAGTGAAATTTAAATTCATGGAAATTTTAAAATTACATAAATTTTTATTTTTTAATACTTAGCAGGCAGTTAACGTTTTTTTTTACGGAAAACGTGTTTGTCTTTGTTACAAGTTCGTGCCTGCCTTTAATCGGCACGTTGTTAGCATTGTAGGAGGTACAGGTATAGGTATGCACACCGAGAGCCAAGGGATTATGATTTACGACCTTGTTTTGCACGCTTGAAAAACAATACCGTGATGGAGTAGAACGGAAGCAGCCCTTCGACGCGTGTAGGGCGAGAAAGTACAATATCGGTTCCTTGAGCGATATATACGATCTACCTTAAGAAAAATACTGACAGATTTATGACGTTGTTTTGGCAGAAAGTCGCACGGGTGAAAAATGTCAACGGAAACCATGATTCATTGGAAAGTACAACTTGTCTACCATAAAACCTGTATCTATCTTAAACCAAATTTTTATGGCGGGAAAACAATTTTTTTAGTACTAACTATTTTTGAAGAACATAATTCCTCGTTGGAATTCGGTCTAATTATCTCGGGTCTAAACGCTTGCTCCGAGTGGATTGCTTTTTAATTGCTGTTCGAAGGTTGCACAAGGGCTAAACACATCCACGCTAATTGCCAGACATCGGTCAATTACTGATTTAGAGATCTAGAGTTATAGGAAGTTAGTATGATAAGTTGAAATATAGGATCTAGAAGGTGTCATGACTATAGGAATTTAGGAGTATAATCAAGGGATATTAAGATCTAGGGAGTGTAATATTTTTACACTTTAAAAATGTTTACCGTCATTCCAGCGTAATTCGTGGCCAAGGACGACCGCATTAAGTGAAACTAGCAGCGGCCATTTTCGGTTATATTGGGCTTAGGGAGAAAGTATCTGTTGATGGCCTAGATAAGTTCGGGTCCGCGTAGCATTAGTTCCGCATCGAATACCGCTTTTTCCTCACAAAACCGTTTTTCCTCTACAAGCAAATAGAAAAGCCGAATATCCTTGAAGAAAACGATACGAATATCGCGGGATTTCCTTAGACAACGGTAAAAAGTTGTACTTTGACCTCCCTGGAGGTTTTCAAGTTTTCTTGGAAGTCGTCTCGAGTAAGCCGTTCGATCGGCAGCGAAGTCACGAAGGTCTAATCTTGCTCCCTCGTCCATTGTATCTTCTTTTATTGTCGGTGCATAATACCCGGTTCGTGTTTTATCCGTGGCGAGAGTAAAGGCACACGCGGATCCTTTGACACGCATACGAGACAACCGACCGTGATTCACCCTGTCGCATCCGATTACTTATTCTTCCTTTGTTCCACTGAATATTCAGAAATACCTACTGCTGCTGTTCACGGTTTTCCTTGGTGGAAAAAGCCGGTTGCATCAAGGCTTCCGCCTTTCCCTCCGATGATTTTCGGCGGCCATTGTTATGCCACGCGCCGTCGGTCCGCGGCGTTTTTGGTTTACCCATAAACATTCGATTGACCCTTCATTAAAATGACTCTTTGTTTCGCGACGAAACAAAGCTTGAGCGGATCCTTTTCAGGTCGTTCAATCTTCGATTTTCTACTCCTTTGTGTGCTTCGCAACGTGTCGAGTCGGCATCGTTAACTTTTCGAGTCCTCGATTTTTCTTGGTACGTGACCGACGTACTTAACGTACGTGTGATGTATTATATGCGTTATATTGCCACTTATTAAAGTACCACGAGCTGTGTTGAATTGTTATGTGTTAATATCGCTACAACTTAGATTACTATCGATCGAATTATCACGTGCTAAATTACCACGCGTTAAATTGCCATCTGATATATTGCTACGTATAGAGTTAGTACGTAGTATATCGCCACGTGTAGAACTACCACGCGCTATATTGCAACGAATTCATTTACTATACGTTATATCGCCACGTGTCTAATTCTCACACGTTATATCACCTTGTATTCAATTACCTCTTACTATATCGCCGCATATCGAATTACTATGCGTTACATCCCTATACAGTGAAATACAGCACGCTATATCGCCACGCGTAATTACCACTCGTTATATCGCCGTGTATATAATTAGCACACGCTATATCACCGAGAGTGCAATTACCACTCGTTATATCGCCGTGCATATAATTAGCACACGCTATATCACCGAGAGTGCAATTACCACTCGTTATATCGCCGTGCATATAATTAGCACACGCTATATCACCGAGAGTGCAATTACCACTCGTTATATCGCCGTGCATATAATTAGCACACGCTATATCACCGAGAGTGCAATTACCACTCGTTATATCGCCGTGCATATAATTAGCACACGCTATATCACCGAGAGTGCAATTACCACTCGTTATATCGCCGTGCATATAATTAGCACACGCTATATCACCGAGAGTGCAATTACCACTCGTTATATCGCCGTGCATATAATTAGCACACGCTATATCACCGAGAGTGCAATTACCACTCGTTATATCGCCGTGCATATAATTAGCACACGCTATATCACCGAGAGTGCAATTACCACTCGTTATATCGCCGTGCATATAATTAGCACACGCTATATCACCGAGAGTGCAATTACCACTCGTTATATCGCCGTGCATATAATTAGCACACGCTATATCACCGAGAGTGCAATTACCACTCGTTATATTGCCGTGCATATAATTAGCACATGCTATATCACCGAGAGTGCAATTACCACACGCTACATCGCCACGTTATATCGCCGTGCATATAATTAGCACACGCTATATCACCGAGAGTGCAATTACCACTCGTTATATCGCCGTGCATATAATTAGCACACGCTATATCACCGAGAGTGCAATTACCACTCGTTATATCGCCGTGCATATAATTAGCATACGCTATATCACCGAGAGTGCAATTACCACTCGTTATATCGCCGTGTATATAATTAGCACACGCTATATCACCGAGAGTGCAATTACCACACACTACATCGCCGCGCGTGTAATTACTACTCGTTATATCGCCGTGCGCGGAATTAGCACACGCTATATCACCGAGAGCGCAATTACCACACGCTATATCGCCGCGCGTGTTATTACTACACGCTTTATCGCCACGCATAATTACCACACGCTATATCACCGAGAATGTAATGTCACACATTGAATTACTATACGCCATATTGCTACATGTCAAATTACCACTCGGGATATGGTCATACTACTATTAGAATATTACACGTTATAATTACTACGCGCTGTCCCTCACGCTATATCGCCACATATAAATTCAAATTATACTTGAATAATTTAAAATGAGTAAAAAGTAATATAGCAAAGGTGGCAACCGTTTACACCGAGTCTTCTCTCATTTTCCACGAACTCCGTATATACATTTTTCGTGCCGGACAGGTCATGAAATATTCGCGGCTCTGCCACAAGTTTCTTCTTCGCCGTGTGTATTTTGCATTTTATCGGTCGATTTCTTTGTCTGAACCCTACCGTTAATGGCGACGGAGATAATTAGGTGACAACAGCTGGCTTGGCCGGCTATCTGTTCGTAACATTAACGCTGCGCAGTAGTACAATCTACAGTACTGCGCACAAGAGACAAACATCACGCGTAGTTATTTTTCGTATGTATATATGTATATGTATACGAGTGTGGGCGTGTTTGAGGTTCGCGTACACGTGCGGCGGGTGCGTGTATCGTTGCAGGGAACCGCGTGTTTTTAAATGACCATGGCTGTCACGCGGAGAACGTGTACGGGTTCTTTATAAAACAGCTGTTAGGGGCAGCAGAAGCCATGCCAGTCGAAATGCAGCTAGATCAATACCATCGTCTGCCGGAGAATTTATACGTGGGGTGTTACAGGGGAAACCGGTGGACGAGGGTGCGCGTTAAACCCTCCAACGACGTTGTCAACCATGCGAACAGCACTTATGTCTAAGAATTTTCTAACTTCGATAATATGCAGTTATGTTCAATTTCTGCATCGATTTTAACTGATATTGTCTTTAAAATATTTTACGCAATGCGGTAATGGGCGATTCTAATCTGTTGGGCAAAATCTAGGAAAAAACCTGGCACGATAGTGAAAGAATCGAGAAAGAGCTGAGAAAGATTAATGCAAAACCAGAGGTGTTATTATCTGTTATTGATATCGTACCGATAAGTTTACTGACACTTAATGATCGAATGGTGGGATATTCACTGCTCCTTCGTTTCCCCTTAACCGAGGGAAGCCTAAGTTGGGATATGCCTACCGAGAAATGACGCAAGTAAAAGAAAATGGTAATTATCATAATTGTTCGCTTCTATAAATGCATTCGACGTCAATGTACACACACACCGTATCGTTAGGAACCTGTTTTGCCAAGCGTGTTCGACAAGATTTATAATTTTGCGTCCCGTCAAATTATTTATACTTATAAAGTATAGTTCCTTGTCAGAAATATTAAGGAACACTTATCAAACTATCAAATAAGCGATTAAAAACAGTTGTTACATTACTGTGCCACGACGTGGATCATTGATCTGTAGAGATCAGTGAATGGACGTTGATATATAAGATAGCGTTTCATTGGCTAATTCTATAGTAACTTGGAAGTTTATTGGTCATACTAATACAAGTAACGAGCGCCTTAAATGGATAGCTAGCTTGGTTGGGGACAAGAATGAAAGTTGTTTATCTGAACATGCTTTACTAGCTTCAATACGAATCAACGTTATCGTCGCACAACATTACTTATTCTTCTACTTAGGCAACAATCGTTATCGGAACGATTTGCTGGGAATTGTGGAAACCGAAAATCATGTTTTCGCTTCGAACAGTTTATAGCGATGACGCCACGCGACTTATAAATTTAGATCTCGTCGTGTGTACCATCTTCGAGTGACGGAACGATTACATCTCGTCGTCTAGACGATTGTCAAATACGTTAGTTAACGATTACAGTTTTACGTTTATAAATCTCAATCTAGAACTGCAAGTTCATTACTAGCCTTACAGGTAGATACACGTTACTAAAATTGTTTCGTATCACAATTTCTTCGAATAAAATCAGAGGCCTGTCAAACATGATAAACATAAAACATTCTCCGTAATCGTTCGTCAAAACATCAGACTTGGCACGACTTTTTGTAGAAACGTACCGTTCCAGGTAACAGAAGTATAATTTCCAAATCTTGTCATTTCGAATAGTGCTTAATCATTCTAAGAAACTTGATTACGTAACGGCATTCGGTAGAGTTTATATTCACGGTAATGCCCGAATGTCTCCCAGAAAATCGCAGATTGCATTCGGCCAATCACGCGAACGTCGCTTATCAAACCACGTATGCATTCCATACGTGTACGTAATTACAGTTGCCATATTTAAACAGAGAAATTGACGAAACACTGGTTGTTTACAATGAAGGTAGGTGTAGAGCAGCAGGGATACTTACGTTGCTAGGTAGCATGGACGAATTCGCGATGCTGGAGAGAAAATCATGGCTGACGCGCGAGCTCTGTGACGTCCCGCTATCGCTGGACACGCTCGAGCTGTCGTAAAGTACATCCGACACGTCGAGCTTCATGTTTACGTCGTTCAGGTGCAACGGTTTCTACCTGCTTCGTTTCTTCCCGCGAAACGAGGAAATATTGACGACCGTTCCGATCTCGTGGCGTTTATAACCTCTCTTTTTTAAGGTGATGCTACCTTATCCGCTCGAAAAGGTACACGGAGATCCTCGTTACGAAGAACTAGAAAGCAGCACACACTGATCGCAGGTTCCTTTGCCCGAAACTGTGTGAAACTGCGACCGATGACTCATACCGTGGGGGAATACCTCGAGGTTCGCGCACGTTCGGTCCTCGGCTCAACGATCTGCCTCGACCACGGAGTCGAGGCTCCACGAACGCGTATGACGTCATCGGCTATTCCCAACCGACCAATCACGACGCCAGTTGCGCTACGCTCGCGACACTGTAACCAGGGACGACGATATGCGCGTTATCAATGGGTTCTTTTTATTAGGGCGCTGTCATTAAACTGTAATTACTTCAACTCATTGGCGTAACTACGTAGGGATCAGATTGAATACATCACTCTGGGATTTCTCCCTTCCATGTTGCATGAAGGACATTGAATTCGTACATTTCATATTTCCAAATTCTTAAATTTTAAAATACCTCAATTTCCATATTTGCTTTCTCCAGATTCAAAATTCTCAAATATCCACAGATCTAAAAATTTCTGAAACACCAAAATTTCATCGAAGTCCCAAATTCTTCTATTTTGAAATTGAGAAATATCTACATTATGAGGTCTGAAATTTTCAAGTTCAAATTTTTGCTTAGTTGTATTCGAAAACCCATTTTGTAATCGTTCGAATGACATACTTGCCTCGAATCCTAAATCCATCGTTCCTCCGTCGCTCAAAGCACATTACGATTTGTTTTGCAATTATTTCACCGGTGACCGAGTCGCGGTGCTATTACAAAGTCATTTCATTGCTGGTTGCCTCTCATTGGCGGTACGCGTAACTGTTATTGCGTAATCGATAGTGCCATTGGAGCGGAACTTCCTGACTAGTGTAGAGCAACGAATGTTCAAATCTATATATGTAGTGTGTACATACACACAAATAAATACACCGTAACCAAGAGCCTTCACTCAACAATAAAAAGTGACAAAACCTCAAGGGCACGAAATTAAAAAATTTGGTAAAAATGAAAAAATTTTAATGTTGAAATGTATCGTAATTCCAATGAAATCTCAAAGTATTATCTAGTTTATTATATTGAAACTCTCAAGTCTTAGAATTGAATATTTCAGGTATTCCAGAAAATTGCAAAGTGCCAAAATCGTGTCTCGGGATGGGTACAGCGTTTGGCACGTGTGCGTATAGATACACAAGTAAGTGGCACCCGAAAGAGTCCGCAGTGGCGTCGCTTGACGACGAAAATTTCAAATGAACATAGCGTTCCGTTTCCAAGAATCGTCGATGAGTCATACCGTGGCAGGTCGTGTGGGCGGTGAACGGGGTAGCCGGAACATATCGAACAAGACGCGTGACTCACCAATCTGATATGTTGGATATTCGCGCCTTTAACCTGCTCCCTTTGGATGGCTAGACGTTCTTCAACCTGCCGTTTCCTCCTGCTTTGAAGCACATGCGCAGGTGCCCACCTGCGTAGCGAAATAACCAACTCAATGAAGCTCTAAGTTACTGGTTCCGTCCTGTCTCATTCTCCATTATTAGTTTTACGCATGATCAACCGTGAACTGCGACGAACGCCGATCAGATCGAGGAGGAAGATAAATCAGTCATTTCTTCAAATCGAGATATCTAATGTAAACGACAGTGAGTAATGAGTTATGTTCACGGCGAAGGGCGATGAGATGTTATAGTTATTCATTCAGTATCGGGTGCTCATTGACTTTTGAATAATTTAGAAATTTTAGGAGATTCGAAGATTTGGGGATTTGAAAATTTAGGAAATTTGAGAAGAGGATTTGAGGACTGGAACAAGTGGAGATTATGAAATTTTGGAATCTATAAATTTAGAAAATGTGAGAATTCAAATTATTAAGTTTGAAGATTCAATAACTTGAAAATTTGCTAATTAGGGAATCTATAAGTGTCCAAAGACAATTTTATGAAACTTGACAATTTTTAAATTTGTAGATTAAGGAATTCTTCGTCGAAGAAAATGCATCGAAGGAGCACACGGTTATGCCTCAAAGATATGTCTCATTACGGTCATGAAGGGACTGACATTCACCTGCTTAGCTTCGCACCATGATGAAATTCGAATAGACAGCCGGTCGTCGTCCTTGAGCTAACTTCTGCCTATAGCCAAGGCCTCGACTTAGCGGCCACATTTGAACGTTACCCGATTGGAAAAATTACGACGCCATGGAATGTCATTGCCGTTTGGTAAATCGGTGCCGCCGATCTGCCTCGCATGTGCTCGGGGAATACACGCGGTCTCGTTGTTTCGCGAGGAAATCTAGGTTAAGTTGTTCGCAAAGTTTTTTGAGGTTAATAAATCTGTCGATCTTCCTGGTGTAACAAAGCGCATCAATATTTTTATATTTTTTAATTTCTACACCTGCTAAAGTGTACCTCTGTACTCATATAAGTATAATTGTAAACGGAATTAGAAATAATATTTTCCTGATGCAACTTGTAGAAGTATTTTCCTTATCTTATCTGCGTATATGGACAAAAATGACAGTTATTTTAGTAGATACTAATAATAACGATTGCAAATCAGTAGATATACAATGCAGAAGTTCTCAATTCGCGATGTGTTGTTGTTTTATAACGTTGCAAATAATCGTGCAAGTGCTGATTTATTTTTCCTGTCAATCACCTTTGAGACTAGATAACAGCGGATATCTGCTATGCATAGCACGTGCAAGTGCAACGAGACGGTCAGTGATAGCTTATCAATCGTGTAATATCGTTCGAGGTCCCAAAGTACCACAATCCCAAAGTACCAAAATCATAAAATCCTAAAGTCCTAAACCCTAAAGTCTTAAAGTCTCAAAGTTCCAAAATTCCAGTGAAACCTAACGGTTCTCGGTATTCTCATATACCGACCGATGCCGTAATAACATGACGCTGGCAATCGATACGTATCCATATTAATTAGTTGTATAGATACGTAGAAATTGGTGCCGTCGCCGCTTGTAACGAAATACGGAAAGAAGTAATCAAAACCGATTTTCTACACGTGCACCGCCATCTCGGATAGCCTCGGCACCATGTCGTTGTTTATCTTCGCGTGCCTTTCCTGGCGGCGACACAAAGCGTGCGATAACGTCACGTGGCCTGCTGACATCGCAGCATTTTCTGAAACAAAGAAGGAAATGCCTAACGCGAAATTGTCGCGCAACGATTTGCGAACAATACCAACGAGGGAGAGAAAAACGGGATCGAGCATGGACTCTGCTCTCTCGTAGCAGCTGCAAGACGGACACAAGAACAGAGAGTTTTAAACGACGCAGCCGTGGAAGTTGCGCGAAATGAGTCAACACCCGCTCCCGTTGCCTCTTGCAAAACGCACGTGCGTTTCGGTTCGCTTGTGCGGTTTGCAAACCGTGCGAGATAAAACGTGCTGGCCGAGAGGATACAGGTCTCGCGACCATACTTACATGTATAACCATTATACATGTTGCTTAATAAATCGAGTACGGTTAACCGTGCAAACAGCCTGATTACGTCCGACCGAGTTTCGTACAGCTGTACGCCATTATCCTCGGATTCGTGCAGTTAATCCTTCGCGGTCTATTTATCCTGTACATTAGATCCAATTTATCGCGGGATTTAAATAATGCTAGGGTCAGTTGGAAAGTTTTAAGGAGATTAGGGAAAGTAGCGGTTATGTTACCGGTTGCCGACCGATTTCAAATAATACGGTATAATGACCAGCGCAGATGTAAAGAGTAATTAGGTTGTATCTCGGTTTCGTTAATCGCTACATTCGCTTGATGCGTGCTAATTATCTATTTAATTGAACCTTCGATTGGGCACTGTGTTAATATATGCGTGAGATAACGTTTATTCCGAGATGCACGGGGAAGTCCCGTGTTGTCGGTTCGGTCGTTTACACCGATGTATTTTTAAGTTCGTTAAATTTAGGTTTTGGGGTAAATTTGTGTAACTGGAATTTTGTCTGGTTTTTTCATTGCTCATAGTCGGTGCAATAAACAGGAAGTTCGAATTAAAATTTCTATATACGAGGTGCAGTGTTTATCCACTTTTGTATTTGCCAAGGCTGATGGCTAGAAGGATGGCAATATAGCATCTGATGGAAAAACGGAACAAAGGCATTGTTTCTGCCTGAGAGAACGATTTCGTTGGAAACATCGACAAGAATGTAAATTGCCAAGGTCGTTACGGTTGCATTAATTGCAACAGAACATTCGAACATTGTTAAAGAATCGTTTATACCATTATTGTTAATATTAGAACTAAAATGGCTCAAGTTTCTTAATTTTATAATCCAACACTTATTAAAACGTTGTACTGAAAATGTATAATCTTTATCGAAATAAAGAATGATTGTTTTTTATTTATTTACCCATAATTTTTAATTTAATTAAACGCCTAATATTCAATGTCGACACCAGAATATTATAAATTACTTAAGTCGATATTAAATACGTCACTCAACCAGGTGACAAGTCTTCAAGCGAAACAATTTGTAACTAACAATCAACGATTTTTCAAGTGGCGAATAGGCGTGTTTATCGAGTATACTGCATTGTGCACAACACTTGGTGTGGGCGTAAACGGTCGGGCGCCAGCCAGGGAATTATAAATTTTAAGGTGGCGCAGCTGAAAATTTCGTTAATCTCTTTTTCGTATTCGTACACGAGCCCTGGGTAGAGAAACAGTATGCGATTCTTTTCTGCGCATGTTTCGGTAAGATGTCTAGTTCAGCAAACTATTGTATGTAAAATAGCAGACCCAACAATATTCTCATCTTTGAAAGCGCTTTGTTCGTGCAACAATATCACCGTGGGAACTGAATAAAAAAGAAAGGAATGGTTCATGGTTGAATGTTTGAACATATAAAAAATCAAATGACTTACTTTTACGAATATTTATCAACGGTAGTTTACATTACGCTGCAATAGTTGCTAAACAGATCCTTGCCATATAATTTCCTGTTGGAAACATGAACATTTGAGTGTCTGATTGTATACCATATCTTGAGTAGATCTCAACACACATGAGTAACTTTGTTATTGTTTGAAATTTATTACTGATCATGTCGCGCGTCAACACATGTCACGTTTGTCATCGTAGAAAATCATGGTCCATGGTTGTAATCGCTAGAAGAAAAAAAAATGAACGACTTCAGGTCGTGTTATATGTTACGATTATCGTCGCAATTAGTCATATCACTATCGCGAATGAGTAAGATGCAGGAAATGTTTCGGTAGACCGAAGCCTTCGTGTGTGTACGTGTGTATGTGCGTAGTCCTGTAAGAGATACTACGCTTAAATGCCACGAGATAAGAAACCGTTTAACACGCGTTTAACATTGTGATTTCTATTTTCCTAAGCTGTGCCGCGCGATAAACCGGAAATTTAAAGGCGGTCGCCGATAATATTGCACTGACTTTGATCTTTGAGTACACATATGCGTTCAATAAAGCACTTATTCGTACCCTGAATATAATCTATCCTACATTCACAATAAGAAACATAAAATAACGATTATCGAATTAAGAGAAAGCTTAAACGTACCAATGTATACTTTGTTTATTTACTTCTGGCGGGAAATTTAAATTATTGTACTCTTATTTGGAAAATTAAAAATTTAAGAACTTGGAAACTGTTTTAAAGCGAGTAAAAGATTATATACGTGTACATAAAAGAATCCTTTAAATGGTACAAAGATGAAGAAACTATATGGCTGTTGAGAAATCAGATGTGTTTAATTCAAAGTCGTCTAAAAATATATCGATGACACGCGAATATGGTATTCTGCTAAAAAAAGAAGTTAAACCGTTTTCCACTTCAATGTCACGATAAAACGCGAATAAAAGTACCAGAGATAATTGATTACTTGCCTGGACTAGTTACTCTGCGATACCTAATCTCTATGTAAACCTTTTCTTCCTTCGCGTATTAACAACAGTAAATCAAGTGCTCAGCGGGAAACGTTCCTTCATAAGTTCTGGTCACTAAACTCGGAGCAGATTTGGTTATTTAAAGCAAACATTTGTATTTAGATTTCAAACAACCAATTTAACTGCGATTTATTTTCATTTTCCAAGCCATGGTGAATATTTCATTTTAAGACACGTCTATGACATCATGTATGCCTAATTTTTGTATGTTTCCTAACTTTATATTACGTCCTCTGGAAATGTGACAGCGTTCATTAACTATTAAGACACATTTATTTTCATCAACCGGATTTCTAATTTACCTTTCGTCGGATAATTTTCTGATTCATCGGTGCGAATCTTTTATTAAATCGAAAATCAATATTGTTGCGCCACCTAGTGGTCTTGGGTGCAATGCACACTTTGTCCGTGACAAAGTATGTTATCGTAAGTGAATAAAACAGGCTAAGAGCGGTATCTTTCAAAAAAATTCAGTTTCAATGTTTCGTGGCCGACAGCGATTATTTGTCAAAACTGATAACGAGAATATTGTATCAATAGTATGACAGTAAGAAAATGTTTCGATGAAATATAACTAGTCGCATGTGTTTGTTTCCACGTGGGCTAAAGTCGAGGAGAAAGGGAAAAATAAATTAAGTGTGCAACGATGATGTCATTGCCCCGACAGGTTATGAGCAGTACGCGCCGAGGATGTCAAGATGGCTGCCACGTACATCTGATCGGAGGTGTGTGCGCTCGCGAAATTTGACGCCAAACTGTGATAAAAGGGGCTGCCTTTTTCGAGTCCCTGACATGGTGACAGTGCAGAGTTAGTCGGCCTGTATCCATGAGCATCACTTTATACACCATCGATGATAGTTCTTGTCGTCGCGGCCGCCGGCGGCTCGCATTGAATCATGTTCAGTAAAAAACTTCATGTAGACGTCAAAAAGTCAACACTGAAGATTCAGGATGTTAAAAAGGATAGCGCAACTCGGTTTAAGCATCTCAAAATCGTACTAGGTGAGCCAGTGTTCCTCTGCCTCCTGATACTTATATTCTCATGATATAAGCCAACGTTAATTCGTAGTGAAAATTAAGGAACAGTTTCACAGTAGTTAATGAATACGAAGACAGTTAAAGGAGAGGGGCGGCAATTTTGTTAGCATTTGCCGCCTACACATAAGCAGCGAGACAGTTTTAATGCTGTCGTAGAAGTTCTGGAATTTTTCGTCGAAAATACGACCAGATTATTTTTCACTTTTCCTAGAAACTGTTCCACTTCTGGTACCAACAGCTGTAGTATTACAGTACCTTTTACTATAATCGTATATATTTTTTTTACTGTATAAACTACTGATATGAAGGTTGATTGAACAAATTGTAAGATAGAATTCAATGTTTATCCAAAATGTTTGAGTTGTAATGTCAGATTCAATAAATAAATTTATATCTCAATAGAAGGTTAATTTTTAACAATAGCTTAATCAGTACAATAGAAATTTCTTACCAAAAAGTAACATGATTTACTCATATGCATTTGCACTGCCATTGTTGTAGTATCTAGTTAAAGTATCTAATCACTAAACCGCATGACCATGGTAAGTTGGTTACCATGGCCTCCAATTTCAGCTAATGTTACATTATTATTACATGCATATAATACTGTACACTCATGTATACAAACATTAGCAGTCATTAAAAACTCTTGCTGCTTGTGTAGTAATTAAATTTTTTCCCATAGAAAGTTATGAAATCAGACTGTCTAATTCTGTGACAAACATTTTTCTTTTATTTTTTATAGTAGCATGTTTTTGTGTACATATTATAATAAGGATCAAAATGTTATATAAGATAAAGAATACTAACAGTTTTGACCTATCTTTTTAGTCATTATTTTTTGTTAATATATGAGATTATATAAATAAATCTATATGAACTTATATTTGTGATTACATATTTGTATATGAAAATAATATTTATAGTAGTTTTTTTTGCACCTATGAAAGAAGCATAGGTGCTTGAAATCAATGATGATGTAACAGAGGTTCTATGACCTTCCCTATGATCCAAACATCTTATGAAAAGAATGTATTAATAATTTTGGTAGTATAAAACATTGCTGTATTTTCAACATTTATATCAATTAATCCAAATTAGGAAATATTGTAAAAGGAACATATAAGTTGATTGAAATACATGATGTTTGTGTATGCCTATGTTTTATAGAAAATGTGGATACCGATGAAGCAAAAGGGTTTTTTGAAGGCAACTTCAGTCACGTGTATTTTATTCTATATGATTGTTTCGTATCAGCTGAAGCAAACCTAAGGCAACGAGGTAAAGATGTTAATATAGTTATTTTATGGTCTATAATATAAATTATACTTGCATTGCATACAAATATGAATATGACTGCAATTCCTATCAATGTAACTGCAGTTTTATTTATAGCAATATATTTGAGATGATTATATTAAAATTAAAATTACATATAGTTTGCTTGTTTTCTTTCTATTTTGCTGCCAGAACTTTCATTCCACATTGGTGAGTAATAGACAGGTGACAAAGTAAATATCCCATGCATGTTGAAGTTTGAGTTGCATTAATCTGCTCAGTACATCTGGTTACTTAAGTATAATAGTTTCATGATTGATCTATGTGTATAAGTTCTATGAACTAGTGCTTCTTTACTTCATTTTTGTTTATTAGTATTAAAGTATAAAGATTACATAGCTAAATATTATACATTTATTAAGAAAATATTTTTTTTATAGTGCATAAAGCACATAGGGAGGAATTAGAACAGGTATTGCAGCTTTTGGAGAAAGTTTTAACTCTTCTTCCTGAGCTTCTTAATAGAAGATGGCAGTGTCATAGCCTGGCAAGGATTTTGGAGAAACTTTTACATCCTGGTAATAGCTGGAAACTTAGAAGAGAAGCTATAAGGTATGTTAGATTGAATATAGTACATGTATCTTTGATTTTACTCATATGTCTATATTAATTAAAAATTTCAGATATTTTATTTTGTGGTATCAAGCACTTGGTGAAAATGCACCCGAACACATCCATCAAATGTTTGCAAGCTTGGTACCAGGCTTTCCACCTCAACAACCATCTCCTTATAAATCAGAGCGCAAGACAGATGGGAAAAAAGATAAACTTGCAAAAGTAATAGGTTGTGATGATAAAGATAAGAGAGAATTTTATGATACACAATTGTCACAAAGTACTTTTCATGATAATGGGTCCAATCAATGTCCTGTCACTCCAGTGGACAATGGACCCATTTTACCTCCACAAAGTGGGGAAAAGCCTCTTGATAATGAGACTGTTCGATTTTTAGAAGCATTACTTGAATTTATGGTTACTCAGGTATACATTCATGTTGAAATGTTTTACCTTGATCTAATTTTATTTTTTTATTAAAATCAATGTTGTAAAAATATCTGATTTCTCTTTGTAGGTTGTAAAAATAGAATGGCGGGATAAATCTTCACGACAGCACAAGACTTTTCAATTTTTATTAGAGCGTTTTAAAGCTACGTACCTTCGTTATATTTGTCCTGAGTTTGATGATAATTTTTCATTATACAAACCGAATTTAGAATTGCCTACGATGCGTAAACCAACGAATCAAAGTCAAGATAATTATGTTTTATGTAAAGTTGCTTTGATTAAATGGATCGCTAATTTTACCCATGTCGCTCGAAAAGATACTCGTGTCGCACATCTTTCGCATAGGTATTATATTGAATTCGGAAGTTTCATTCCTTTCTATGATTTTCACACAACTCTTAATTTGGTTTAGCACAACTCCGAACGAAGAAAATACGGAATCAGAACTTCGTCGTGTTTCGGTTACACAAAATCCAACTGATTCCACTTCGCTATCTCCTGAATCAAATGTATCACAACAAGAGAATCAAAATCAGGAAGATAGTAGTGTTTCAGCAGTTACCCTTGTTAGAGAGGTTTTATATGGTAACAGAGATAATGTAAATTTTGTACACGAATTGTACAGGCAAGCGTTTCTGCTGGATTTCAATCATGCTGGTGCTATAAGGAAAGCTATAGCCGTTTATAAAGATTGGATTCAAATGAATGTAAGTTACCCATTAAAATTATTATATGTAATCGTTGGCATAATTTTTATCTAAGGTAGGCCAAGTATCTTTGCTTTACTAATAATGTCTGGATAATCAAGTGACTTATGAAAATTTGGGAATTTATTATTATAGGAACTTCCACCATTTATGTTAGAGCCATTGGACAGCCACAAAGAAAGAGACTTAGAAGATAATACCAAAAAAGATATAAGTGATATGGATAAAAGTCCGTCAGAAAATTATCGTCAAACGAGATTAAGGAACGACTCCTACCTTGGTGCTATACACAGAGAAAATTTATTTATAAGAGCAGGATTACAGAATGTTTTACAAATATTCATCACACAAGCTTCTAATGTTTTTTTTCTCGAAAATTATGGACCTAACGCGTCCCTCACATTACTGGAAGAACAAACAGATAGTTGCAAAAGAGTTTTGAATGTTTACCGATACGTCGTAATGAATTCTAGATTAGAACCTGCTACTTGGGAACAGTTGCTTAGGTAACCAAGTAAAATTTATATTTTCTCATAAATGATAGAACGATCCAGTAAATCTATACTTTTACCTTGTATTTATTTACTAGGGTATTATTACAAATAACATCACTCGTTCTGAATGAGAAATCTTCTCGGCGCAAAGTTCAGGAAAGCATCGGTGGCAAACTCGCACCTGCCATATTTCAGACCTTAATCGTTACGTGGATTAAAGCCAATTTAAACGTTGTTATTTCTACCCAATTATGGGATCAGTTTTTGGAAGTTCTGACATCATTGACACAATGGGAAGAATTGATTCGAGAATGGGCGGTAAGTTGAAATAAACTTTATGTTCATGCGAGCATGATAACAGTGGAACTATTTTTTACTTTTTATCGTAGAAAACATTGGATACTTTAACAAGGGTACTTGCCAGGCACGTGTACAATTTGGATTTGAATGATCTGCCATTAGATAGATTGAGCGAACAAAAAACTAAAAAGCGTCGAGGTGTCGGAAGCCGTGCTGCTTCCACCGGAAGCGTTCAACCCCCACGCAAAGGAAGCGTTGACCAAGATAACAATACTGTTTCTAAAGAAAGTGTTACTGGTAAAGGACATAACAAAAGTTCTTTAAAAGTTATTATGTTCAGTCGCATGAAATACTCCTTTTCAACAGATCATCCAATGCGAGACTTAAGAAAAGTTCGACCTCTTCCTCGTAGTGCAAGTGATAATACGATATACAATGGGAAAGCACGCGTAAAGGTTCATAGACATCGTGCACATACTGTACACAGTGGTATTCCTGGTAAGCAATTCACTTATCATCATTCCTCTTCTGTTTTCATTATAATTCATTAATTCTATTACTTGGTAGTGCCATCTATGTTGCTGACAGTGCGTGCAGTTTATTTATAACTTTGTCTTCTATTTTTTTGCTTTGACGCTGACTCTGGTTTAAAAATAATTAGTTTGGCATCAGCCAGACACTTGTCTCGTCTCATACTTTTCTTTTTATCTTTTTACTCTCCCCTTCGTGTGTGACTTCATTCTCCTTGATCGTGCTTTCTCCTAATTTTACTCGTCGAGTCATCAGTTAATTCAGTTTAATATAAACATTTCTCTCAGTGGTTGTGGCTTATTTGTGTACTAAGCGTAAACAATTTCCACGCGCGCAGTACTCCCCCTATCGATAGAGCAAGACATGGCACGGCTGCTGTCAAGTGGTACCACAGCATCGTCAGGAGTTGGCCGGAAAATGTTACCCAACAGACGCGCTAAGTCGTTGGACAGCGTTGTTATGGTTGATAGCGAACCACCATCTCCGCGTTGTCCTTCTCCAACGCCTAGCAGCGGCGTTGACAGCAACAAAGACAGTCCGATACAGATAGAAAATATTGACGGCAGTAGTATTGGTAAGTATATCATTTGCCACTATTTCATATCTTCATCAAGATACGAGAGCATCATTTTTAATTGCGTAACGACATATAAACATTTTTACAAAATCAGAGTACTTCTGTGTGTTTTATCTACTGCACAACATTCATAACGTAAAACTAACAGTGAAGTGCATTATTATCTAAATAATAATTGATTGTTTCGCTTTGCTTAAGTTCTTTTTTTGTATATTAACGATTTTATTTATACGATCTTTGTTTTTTATTTATATCATGTCATTTGGTATAGTCACATAGTAAAATTATATGTAGTTGCGTATTTTATTTACGTTCGTAATGCGATTATTGGTGTAACTAGGATTATCTGGAACAGACCAGATTCTGTTTCTTTACCCTATTTACTATAAGGCTCACACTGGCCTCATCTAGTTACATCAATGAATGCAGTTACTAATAAATTTTTTAAGTTTAATTTTTAATTTTTCTATTCATTTATAATTTCTGGTGTTGTATTAATATATCAATAGAACTTGAAAGGTTTGGTTATGAATTATTATTTTGCAGATACTAATGATGCATCAGAAAGAAGATCTGTTATGGCAGGTGGTGGTGTTCGTGGATGGTTACCTGATGTAGCGGTTGTATTGTGGAGACGTATGTTGTCTGCATTAGGAGACGTGAATAATATTCAAGATCCAGTACTTCATGGTCAAGTTATGGATTATCTGGTTCAACTGACGCAAACCCTTATAAAAGTGCGATGTCGATTTTATTTCATACACCTTAATTAAAACAAACTATTTATCGTTGTATTTCGCGTTGTGTAGATTCGTTTGAATCAAGGCGTATCTGGAGACAATCAGGCAACCCCGCCAGCTCCGGAACTTATACCTCCGTTAACAGTAATTGCTCCATGGTGTTTCAAGGTTTTACTACATTGCTCACTATATTCGAATTACTATAATATTTTGACATTATTTAGGGTTATTCTGTTTTTAGGCGATACAACTTCCTAGTCAGTACGAAGTAGGGAAATTGGCAGCGTACCGTTTGATCTGTCTTTTGACAGTACAGCCGCAGGATATCAATTTACCAAAACAACACTTGACACTTTTTTATCGTGCGGTTCATAACGGTATCGTTAGTAACGACAGTAAAGTATTACATGTACTTGTCAAGTACACTGGTCCTAGATTGTTCAGTTTAAATCTTCCTGGGTCTAGCCTTTTAATCTTGGATTATATCCATGCTGCTAATGTCATATTAAGCAGTCAGGATATTGGGGTATAATATAAATTTCATAGTAACTTTATAGCACGGTATTATAGAGATATAGAAGTAAAAGTAATATCATTACAGGCACCACGGACAGAGGCTGTCTCGATAATCGGATCATTACTGTCCTTACCTGCCACAACAATTAAATTACCTGTGTTGCAACCTACTTCGACGGATATTGTGACCATGAAATGTCCAGATGCGAAGGTGATAAAATGTAGTATTTATTTAATACTGACTTACTGGAAATATTTTGATACAAATTGTTTCATTGTAGGAGCACATAATCACGATTCTTTTGAGAAGTTGTAGGCGAGAACCTACCGGTATTGCAAGATGCGTGGCACTTTCAAGTATTGCTATGTTTGTGTACAGAGAGCTGTGTTACAAAAATCAACATCCGAGGATACCAGAATCTGTCACGGTTCTTCTTTTAGCACTCAGAGTAAGTTTTTCAAGTCTGTTCTTGGAAAACGGTTATGGAAAAAAAAAGATTCTTTGATATTTCTGCATGTTAACTTAGATCTGAATTATATTTGTTTAATATTTTGTACTTAAAATATGGTTTTTAAATACTAAGTATTTCATTGTGTATCCTTAAAGATTGCAGTTGCAATCTTTTAAACAGACAAGTTTATCTAACAATGTTTAAGTTGTAAGTAGTAGTAGATTCCATTGAGTTTGATTGACAGCGGATGCAAGGGACAGAGCGTCGCAGAGCTGGTTTCTGTTATCCACTAATGGATCAGGTAGTTTTTCTTGGATCAGCTAACCTATGTCGAACCTTATTACGTGTTGTTACAGTACATATCTGTCGACTGATGTCTACGTGTCTCCCTAAGGATATCAACATTGCATGGTTTAATATTGCACGTTCGTGTGTAAAATGTCGGACGATATTTTTGATCCAATTATACTTTGTATTTGTTAGTGATTAACATGCTTCCTAAACTAATCGAAACGATACCATTATGCAAATATAATGCTTGAATTAAATTTATTCTCTGTTCCGCAGGCCAACCATGCCATTGTTGCTCAAGTGGCATGCGATTCTTTATTGTTGCTGTGCGATAAGGCAGACATCCTCTTAGAGTTGTATCCAAATGTGCCATGTAAAATAATTCAGGTAGGTTGTTCAGAAAGCCGTTGTTTGACAATTAAACTTAAACTAAACTTGTATTTATTTATATTCAGATTTTGTCAGAAACACTTGGATATATGAGTACTCGAGAAAAACGCGGTCCTTTGATAATATCGATGTTGTTCTGTTTGGGCGAGTGGGCTATGCATCTTGGTCCATTTGTTTTGTTGCGTGTATTTCAAGGAAAACCATTATTAATGACTTTATTCACGGTCAGTAGCGTGTGACTATACTTATAAAACTAATGCAACATAAATCATAATGTGTGCCTTAAATACACATAGGTTTTGGATAATATAGTGAAAGATAAAATCAGTAAAGATGTTACGCAGTCGAACAAAAGTCATGAAGATGAAGATGATGATTTCGATCCTGACATAACTTTGGATAACTTGGCTGACGAAACTTCCATGAAATCACCTCGACGAGGAAACATTCAGTCTGTTCAGTTGGCAGCAAAAATGGTGACATATAAATTTTTTAGTTCTTCTTCCTCTTCTTTAAAAATGTTACTTATCATTTGAGTTTCATCTTCATAGGTAATGATGCATTTGATAAATCATTTGGGACATTTTCCCATGGGTATTGGAGCTGCACGATTATCTTCATTAGTTGTTGAATTAGATGATGTACCCGGTATTGATGGGGATGAGCTTTCTTCTGCCATTTTTCATGCGCCGAATATACAATTATTGATGTTATCAAACTCCGTGATAATGTCACTCGTTGAATTGGCGGCATTGGATGCGCCCGGAGGAGGTGTAACCGCAGGATTAACAACAGCTCCGTCTTTGGTCAGGGTTTTGTTGCGAGATTTAGCAGGAAAAGCATCTTGGGACAGTTCTATTTTGTACAGTCAACCGTTCGTCGAAGACGATATTCCAATAGCATTTACAAAACACGGTAAGACAGATATATTATTGAAATTGAAATTTCCTTTTATGTTACAATTCACATCAAATCTGTTCATTTCTTCAGTCGAGTGGAAAGCAAAAATGCAAATAGAGGATCTAAACAGTGTTACAACATCTCAAACTTGTACACCTCGACATACTATAAGACATCGTGAACCTCATATATTACCCACGTTTGCGAATGCTGCGAGCGATATGGATAATTTGGATGATGTACGTTTACCCATTTCGAAAAAATTAATGTTCAATGAATGAAGAATATAATGATAATTTTAAACTTCTTCAGCTCTTACAATATATAGGACACACAAGTCCGGAAGTATTAACTAATCCAGAAGTAGCTCTTAACGCGCCTGCTAATCCACCACAGGGTCATTATCTTGAAAGTGAAACTATTGCAACCATTCTCAACCAGAGGAATGCGGAACAAGAGCATATCAATAATTGGAGTCAACATATTAGGTAGATTGTCTATAGCATCTGATGGTGTATTTGTAGTTATACAAATTATTTATACAATTGTTATTTCAGCATGTGCGCGTCGGCAATAAGTCCACCATCGTGTCGCCCGCCTCCAGCACCCTTTCATCACTGCCGTCTTTTATTTTCGCACTTAGGTTTGTCAGGTTGGGAACAACGTACAAAATTGCATTTGTTATCGAAAAATGAAAAACTTCTGCGGGAATTGAGGAACCTCGATAGCCAGCGATCCAGAGAAACACACAAAATAGCGGTGATTTACGTTAGTCAGGGACAAGAAGATAAGAACTCTATATTGAGTAATGTCACTGCTAGTAAAGAGTACGAAAGTTTCGTCGCTAGATTGGCCTGGGAGGTCGAGCTTGAATCGCACACAGGTTTTCTTGGAGGTCTTATACCTGGAAAAGCATCAGGGGTAACAGCACCCTATTTTGCTACGTCTTTCACGGAGATACTTTTTCACGTCGCGACGAGAATGCCTTCTGACAGTCCTGAAAGTTTGCTGCAGAAAGTAAGTTTTGTTTGTGTAGATCAATGAGGGGCAGCACTCACCGAATAGTTCACGGATACGGGCGTGCATGGTGTTTGCAGTGCTGCCGTGTTAAAGATTCGCTAAAACTTCACATTTTGTAATCGTCGACTATTGACGTAGATTTAGAAATTACTTTATGATCAAATGATTTCAGACACGACATTTGGGTAACGATGAGATTCATATAGTTTGGTCCGAACATTGGAGAGATTATCGCAGAGACATTATACCAACTGAATTTTGCGATGTTTTAATAGTAATTTATCCGTTGCATAATAAACTGTACAGAATCCAAATTTCTCGTAAGCCAGAAATTCCATTCTTTGGACCCTTGTTTGACGAATGCATCGTGGAAGATAAAGTTCTGCCTGGATTAGTTAGAACAACAGCATTAGCAGCAAGTAGAGCAAAACGATCTACTCTTACGTTGTATCAACATTAGTAAGCATGTTACCATGATTTTTTGTTACCAACTTTATTTAACTCGTTGATTGCCGCGTCGAAGTTGAAATCTTTATTAGTTAATAATCTTATTTGTAACAAACTTTACCGATTATTAATTAGGAAAGTGAAAGAATTTTTAACATAATGGATTTTTCTGAAAATTGAATCAACATTCGTGTGTGTGTGACGCGGTAGTCAACGCGTTAATGCGCATTAAACATTAATATTTATATGACACATTTCAGTTACGAGGAGAGAGCAAGATCTATTGATACCGTTATGCGAAATCATAAAGAAGCTACTACATTTGAAGAGTTTACAGCTAACGTATATTCTCCGGTACAACCTCCAAGTCCATTCAGTGGGACTTCTTCCGTATCTGGTTAGTTTGCATACGATAGTAAGAAGGACAAATAAATGTTATTTTATACCTTCGCAAACATTTCGATTTAAAACAGTTTAATGGTTTAATACAAATCGTGTTTATTTGCAATTTAATTCAGTGCACAATTTTGATCTTCATAGCTATTAAAAAATAGTCTTTCTTTTAGAATATTTCACATAGAAGCTGTGAACAGCTTATAGCCGAAAATTGAACCTTTTTCAATAGTTTATGCATGAATTTAGATGTCAGTCATTATTATTATCAATGTCACACTGTCAGGCTCTACAACAAGCGTGCAATCCACAGCATCGTCAAACCTCGCAGCAGCCCTTATAGATTCACATCAAGGTCGATCGGGTCTGCGAAGTTCTTCAGCAGCGAGCAGTGATAACCGCGCGAATAGAGGTGACTAATTCAGTCCACTAACCCCCACCCACCTTGTAACACCACCCAACAAGGTAGTATTATAATTTATTTATTTTTTCTTTGCTGTTTTCTAATGTTTTTGTCTATACAAAATGTACTCCATTTATTTCATTTATTTTTTCTTCTTTTCATAGATTACCTGATAGTTATAATATGTTCGTAATTATGCGAATTTATATATTAATTTTTTATTTTACCCAATAAACTCCAACCTATTAAACTACATATAAAAAATAAGTATAATATTACACTCATTATTAAACAGTACAACAGTCAATTTAAAATGAGAGATAGGACAGATGCTTAAATAAGAAATAGATAGCAACAAATATTTGCTTAAATAGAATAGTAAAGTAGTAAGACAGGCTCTGCACAAATAGACACTATTTATTTACATAAAATAGTAAGATTTTATGCAATAACTTATGTTAAGATATGTACATATATTGCGGAACAAGACTGAAGATAAATATATTACTCTTCATTTAATGTCCGTATCTCTTAATTATATTTTTGTTTTAACAGTCTTACACAATCTATTCAGAGGTAAAATTTACTCTTTACATCCATATTAGACATAGATGGATAATATCTCTTTAATATTCATCATATTACATGTGCCATTTACGTTAATGTTGCTTAATAGAACAAAATAATGTACAGTACTGTACAAGCGTAGTATCTTAGAAGGCTGTTACAAATTATAAGTTCTTTTTCTCAAACATTCTCATCGCATCTTGAAACAAAGTGCATTAATTAGAAAAGGAAAATATTAGTTCAGTCTTTTAAGATTATATTTGCATGGCACTGTACATTCCAACTAGCTTTCTGTTAATCACATAGTTGCAAATGAATGTGCCTATTTGTAAATACAGGCATTCATCCTCCCATCAGTTTCAACATTAAATGTATATATATCTTACATCAATTTTTTCACATAAAAGGATTATGCAAACAGTTTGACACTTCCATTTTTTTAGCTTGCTTCATTTTATGAAATTAGCATTTTACTTTATAAAGGAAACTGCGAGAATCAAGATTTTTATTAATTTCTTTTGTTATCTACAAAACATAAATAACATAGACCAATTTTTATTTATATATTTTTTCAATCAGATTGCACGTTGATTTATGCTATTGTACATTTGCACTTCTAATAAACCCATTGTTCTTTTTTTGTACTAAACGTAACTATTTCCTGTATATAATTTCAAGCGTATAATATTAATTGAAACGATTGTCATTTTGCTTTGTTTTCAGTTTCTGATGGAAGTAGAGTATGGTTTAGTAACGACACTCCAGACAGTACAGCGCTCCATGGAATTTCTCCCAGGCCTGTGAAAAAGATGTCATTTAAAACTGGACCGAAACAACGGGCAAACACTCAATCTACACCCCCCGATAGTCCGAGATATAAATAAATAAGGAATTTTCTATCAAATACCATAAACGAAAATGAACACTTTTGCACAAGAGGTTGTTTGGTCATATCCTACAAGTTGTAATTTAAGAGAATTCTTTAAAACGCTACGATGTATCGTAGTAGCAACACAGTTCACTGCTCCATACATCAACAGAGATAGTAGACACGTTAAGGACAAAAAAGTAGGTTCAGATTACCTACTACTTTTGACATTGTGTCAGCAGCGGGTATGAAATATCTGAATTAGTCTTAGCGTTTTCTGTTTTCCGTCCTTAGGTTTAATTTTTATATTAAATGTACAGATCGTTGTTTATTTGTTGCAACGTGAATATTAATTTATTGGAACGTAAATATACGAGAAGATTTAACTGATCATAGATATACAATAGTACTAGGTTTGTTATATACGCTGATTAGCGTCACGTGACAGCTATTTCCATTGTACAGTACTTTCTTAAGATCAGTTTACCCTTGTACTTGAATAGGTAAGCTTAAACGATTGTATCAATTAAAGCTTCTATCTTAATTTATATTAAAAATAATGAGCTCCTCGATGTTACATGCCTTCGTGAACGATAAAATAACAAAGATAACTCGTTTCTTGTAATGTAGTTGGGCGACATAGGAAGAAACATGATTACCATGTTTACCGCATAGTGCGGGACTACGGAAAGGTTGATGAGAATCAAATGTTATTTTTTAACGTCAAAGTTTTACGAATCAACGTCATGTTTCTTAATAATGTAATAACCCGTACTTTACCTCTCGTGCCGGTTTAATTTCGGTGAATATTTTTGGTAAACGTGATGCAATCACGGTATTTAAATATGTTTGTACATTACATTCCATACAAAAATCTTTTCTATATATTATTCATTATCGGTCATTTCAGTACTTTAGATGTATCTTCGAAGAAATATAAAAGCATTCCATTTACGTTTTTGTATTCAAATTCGACAATCGGATCTTCTACCGAAGTTTACAAGTATATTCATTTCTGTACATTGTTGCAGAAGAATCAGTTAGGGAACAGTTTTGTTATTATACCAAAATTATAAGTATTTGGTGCTTTACGATACGTAAAATAGAAGTATTTTAAATACTGTGTCAAAAAGTGTTTAAACACTAATGAAGATGAGAAAAGGAAAGAAGTAGTAATGAGTTTTGAAAGTAAACTAAGAATAAAACTTTGGCTTGAAAAAATAATTCATCTTGAACACAGTGATAATAATCAAAGTATTAATATTATTCGTCGCTGTCGATATGAACGGAGTTTAGAGAAAAATGATATATTGATAACGGTATTCAAGTTGAAATTGTAATAAATAAACATTTCGAGTTTTTTGACCATTTTGATGATTATCAGAAAAAAGTCGCATTCGAATGTGTAGGTATCTAGCAACGAAGTTGTAGGTAAATAATATTATCAATACGCAGACCATGGCCAAAGCAGCATTATTTTTTCACTAATTTATAACGAAGTAGATTGAGAGTCGTGTATATGTATTGTACATAAATTGTTAAGCCAGCGAATGACGTTGAAGTCATTGATGAAAATTATTCTTTGCAAAATATTGTATCTCTATGTTATTGAACAAAAGTATTGGTCTATATATATATATATATATATGCATATATACGTATAGAAATGGAAATGAACTTATTGCAATCTTGTGTAAAGATGCTTTTACAAAACATATTTAAACATTGTACTTAATTAATTATCTTCATCGATATTATTATAACAATTGCTCGCTATTATTTATGTTATAAATATACAAATTGCTGTTAATATTATTAGCACAATATCGAACTATTTTTCTTACTGAATACTTCGCTTGTAACTGTTTGGAACGAAATTTAGCGAATGTAAGCTGCAAGAAAATGCAAAAGAAGCATTGAAGTGTTACCACAAAAGAAAAATATTAAGGTGCCTCTTCTGCTCGTAACATTGCTTCAATTTACATTCTTTGTTTTCTCAAGTTTTCCCTTTATTTTTCATTCTTTCTTAACAATGATTAAATTATCTGTGTGTAATAGCTATTACAAATACGAATATTAATTGTTCACACAAGATAATCTGTACTATATAATTTTTCCTACTTATTCGTACGAAAGTGTTAATTTGTGTTTTAACGGTCTGAAACAGAGAAAATGTATGTACAAAGAGTTTGCGATTCGCCATGTCTTTATCGATACAGAACAGAGTTAATATATATCTACATAAACATATAATTATTTTATACGATTAAAAGGGAAAGCCTCCTCGTTCTAATTTGTTTACCAAATAGAATCCTGCATAGATATACTTAATTTTCTACTTACGTGAATTGACGGTCGTTACAAATTTTTAGACGGGAACATTTTTAGCAGCAGCTGCGAATCGTAAAGTAACAAATAGGTTTCTTGAAATTTTCAATAAAATTTCTGCTGATAAACTGTGTGTTATATGAAATTCAAACTTCGTAAAAAAACTTTGCAGAATTTATAGTTGGTATAGAAAACGATAGCATTCGAATAGAAAACTTATAAATATATTTACAATTCGTAAGAACAAGTTAGGTGATTCTTTTGTAGAGGCGGTACAGTGGAGTCTCGCTATTTGGCCTTAGACAAGACTAGAAACGAACAAAATTGTGTGAAGGGCCATATAAATGGAGCTGCATGGTGTAGCGTGTGGCGATATAACGAGTGTTCAACGAACAATATTCATTCGCATTCATCGATCACAAAACTTGAAAGAGCCATATAGCGAGACTGCGCTCGTATTTGGAATTGACTCGAATCGTGATTCTTCTATAATCGAAATTCGTAATTTCTCTGATGTCGTGTTGATTGTACACATTTCTGCGATGGAATGTACATTTTATTGCACAATAAAATTATAATGAATCAATTTTAACTGCATGTATTTACAAATTATTGTGTTTGAAAATTTGAAATTACGACCTCCTTGAGTTTCTCGTTTTCGACTACAGAGGACGAGACAATGAATCACCTCGTAAAATGGCTGCCATCAGGTGTACAGTTTATTTGTAACATTGTAAGCGTTATCAAATGATCAAAAACTTTTAATTTTTGCTGAATAATAGTGTATAGATTCCTAAGAGAGATCCTGGATATACAGATATTAAGTAGGTATTTTTATATCGTAGTTTTTTAAATGTAATCGAATGGCATTGTGACGAGAGCGAAGCGCGGAAGTACAAAAAGAATAGGTATAGTGGGAGCTGTCAAAGGATTCTTATGTCAATTTATTTACAAGCATAAGTTTTAATGAATGTCTGAGAGTGATATTTACGACTCGGCGGACGAATACACAAGCCTAATGGACGGTCACGTTGCGGAATCTCGCATGGACGACCTGGGCTTGGTCACTGGTCGTAAAAGGCGTTCGCGGATTAGTAACGAAGAGGTAAACTCTCATTAATCTCTTTATTTAGTTTGTTTAATTTTGTAAAATAATTTCTAAAACTAGAAACCACATTTTAATTCAATAATATATTAATTTATAGGTTGAAAATGGGGTTCCGGAAGTACATGTTCAAACAGCAGGTATATCCAACAGTGCCAGTTCAGCTAGGAGAGGTGCACCAAGTAATAATGGACAAGGTAGATCAAGAAATTATAGAGACGAAGAAGAAGAGGAATTAAAATATGGAGCAGCACATGTTATCAAATTATTTGTGCCTGTATCTCTTTGTATGTTAGTCGTAGTTGCTACCATTAGTTCTATAAATTTCTACACAACCAAAGGAATGTACTTGTAAGTTGAAGAAACATACATGCTTTTTAAATAGAAGTCAAATGTTTATTTCATAAGTTGTTGTTTTAGGGTTTACACTCCTTTTCATGAAGACAGTGCTGACACGAGTACCAAAGCTTGGCAGGCAATTGCTAATTCTTTAATACTCATGAGTGTCATTGTATGTATGACTGTGATACTTATCGTCTTATATAAATACAAATTTTATAGAGCAATCCATGGGTGGTTGATAATAAGTTCCTTATTGTTATTGTCTCTCTTTTCTATTCTTTTCTGCGAGTACGTATAATCATTTCTATGAACTTAACTTATTTGTTTATTGTCTGACAATGATCTTCCTTATAGGCAAGTATTAAAAGCATACAACATTCCAATGGATCTGATCACATTAGGCATAGTTTCATGGAATTTTGGAGCAGTTGGAATGATATGTATACATTGGCAAGGTCCTTTGCAATTACAACAAGCATATCTTATTTTCATCTCAGCTCTAATGGCACTTGTTTTTATCAAACATTTACCAGAGTGGACAGCTTGGGTTGTACTAGGTGTTATCAGCATTTGGGGTAATGTATCTGCTATATGAGACATACCACTCTGTAAATGAAGTGTGATTTGCCACGATATTTTGTATTTAGATTTAATTGCCGTATTAACGCCGAAGGGTCCCTTAAGGGTGCTTGTGGAGACAGCACAAGAAAGGAACGAATCTATTTTCCCTGCATTGATTTATTCGTCTACGGTTATGTATACAACCACCATGACTTATGCCGGATACGTACAAGCAGCAACAATGACTAGTAGTGATTCCGCGGCTGATGACAACGCGGCATATCCTATACGCGGTCAGACTGACAATCAAAATAATGCTGCATCTGGAGATGCAGAAGAAGGTGGTTTTACTCCCGAATGGATAGAAACACACGGTAATGATAAACTTAATCTGGTTCATCTTTACTAAAATTAACCTACAACTTCCTGGTAGGTGATCGAAGTGCAAGGAGAGCCCAGGAAGTACGGGAAAACTCTGCATCGTTAACTGAAAGTGCAAGGCAACAAGATAATAGAACTGTACGCGATGCACAAGGACAACAAGTCGCCGTTACCGAGGAAGAACGAGGAGTGAAGTTAGGTCTGGGTGACTTTATCTTCTACAGCGTTTTAGTTGGAAAAGCTTCCAGCTATGGTGACTGGAATACAACATTGGCATGTTTTGTTGCCATTTTAATTGTACGTATTCTTTGTTTCTGCATAAATAGCAAAATTATATTATTTTCATTATCATTGTCTTTTTATTTTCAGGGGCTTTGTTTAACTTTATTATTGTTGGCTATATTCAAAAAAGCATTGCCAGCCTTACCAATCTCTATTACCTTCGGTTTAACGTTTTATTTTGCTACCAGAGTAATCGTTGCGCCGTTTGCCGATAATTTAGCAAGCGAACAAGTGTTCATTTAACTGTAGGTATGATCAACATTATCATTATTCATCATAATTTATTACAAAAGAAATAGTGCCTATTTACTCTTATGATCATCTAGCTTTCGTATTTCATTTAAATTTTATTGATCGTATTCGTGATTCTCGAACTTGTATCTCGGATGTATTAATCATCCTGTGACATGGTACAAATCAACTTGAAATATGCGTTACGTCAGTGATAGATCAAGTGCCCGTCAAAGAGCGCGCGGGCATTTGCTATCACTGCATTATATGAACTGGATGATCCAGTATTTTTTAACGATAAGTATTCATTGTTGAATTATTACATCGGATAGGAATCTAATGTCATGAAAATGCTCAAGAATACAAATTTACATTTGTAAGCTGAATAAGAGAAATAATAAATTGCAATTGTATTTGTCTGATATTCACTGGATGTTAAGTGTGATAATCTCTTTTAGTTAACACAATTTTTATTTTATAATTTATTTGCATTAAAGCAGGTAGCAAACAGAATAACGATTAAGAATGATTAAATGAATTGAGCTACGAGAATTTATTGTGTGTCGTTACATTAAGAGAACATAGATCGCATAGATCAAGTATAAAAAAAGCAGTTGATGATCGTCTTTTCTTTCTTTTTTCTGGAAACAATATGAAATATGAGGTACAATATTTATCTAAACAATTTGCTAACTGTACAGACCTCGCGGCTACAAATTACTAGGACCACTAGCCGTCCAGGATAATTCCTTGGGGTTTGAAGTCCGTTTGTACACAGCCATAGAATAAGTATCGTTCGTCATCAATCACAAGGGTTCAAGATACTCACTTCAATGACAATAAGTATTGCTATGAGTTTCATTCGACGTTAAACAATAGGAATTTAGATACAAGTTTTGATAAGAAATATTCTCTCGCAGTTCAGAGAATTCAAGGCAAAATGATGATCTGTGGCCGTGCAATGGAAAGACTCGTTATCTTTTCTTTTTTTTTTTTTTAATTTATTGTTACAATATAGTATTTCCTTGGATTTTAGAAAAGCATATATATTTGCATGTCGTTGAAAAAGGTAACTCCACGCCGTTCGTTTATTTATTTGTTTTCAAAAAGCGCTTTTATAAATAGCGGATAAACATTTTGCCAAGAATAATCGATAAGTTAGCGTTCACTTTTCCATATCATCAAGCATTGCATAACTGTTTCGTAACTTTTAATCTCGCTGTTCTCTGTTTACAAACTTTGCCGCGAAATGCAGTGTATACATATACAATATACAATATATATATATTTATATATATAATATAAATCCCCGGAACCGGAAGAACTTCAACAGCGATATGATATTCTTTGCACTTCGTAAAATTATGATAATTCAATAAGTTTATAACTACGTACTAGGAGGAAGTTCACTTATTTTTTTTTTCTTCGATTTAATATCTAGTCGAATTTCAGTCATGATGATGTGTAAAAGACGCTGTTCCGACGAAAAAATAAACGCGATCATTTATGAACTCTAATTATTATCACGAGCATAAGCGCCCGACGTATTTATGGTCACCGCGGTTGTGCGCACAGCAAATTATCTTTATTTCGTGCGTATCTTGTAACAATACTGGTCTAGCTACGTATATTATCTAGCAAGTAGTCGTGCGAATTTTCAAATTCAATGAACCCAACAATTTCGTTCGAAACCGAAGCGGGAAAGGTACACTTGGAAACTGTCAATTCTAACGGGAGAAAAACATTAGGAAAATATTCGCAACACGTACTAGATTAGTCAGATCATAATACGATTCCGTCAATTGTTACTAAGTAGTGATTTTCAATGGAACCTGCATCGAGAATAGAATTTGAGACTTATTCAAATCATTAGCGTAACTAGGACTTTTGTTTAGGGTGAATTAGGTCCCTAGCTTTATTAAAACTTTGCCTTAAGTACTTCTTACGTTTAACAGTTTTTATCCAAATTTAGAAATTTTTGCAGAATATTTCTATTTTTTTTTTTTTGGTATTCCAGTGATTTCTGGTAAGAGGCCAAATCCACCCTGTCATAATTACGCCAACGTTCAGTTTCCTCTTAAATATAATTTCGCGGCACATTTTGCTAATTCTACAAACAAAACAATTATTAAATATGCAGTATATATATCTATACAATATATCAGTCTTATAAACAATAAACTTTTGGAAACGCATTTTGGTAAATATACAGTAATAATCATCGCAAAAAGTGGTAACTATACTTTGCTAATATTTTTCCCACTTTAGCTTATCTTCGGTTTTCATCATCATAAAAAAATACGTAACGAATTATAAATATCTATACGTTCGCTCGAATTTGTTCGTTCTTCGACGCTCGGGGAATTATTCTTTCTTCCTTCCTGTCTTAACTTGTCCCGTACTTGCTGCTTTCGAATGTTCCACGTCTGAAGAACGAACTGAATTCCAGCAACGATTGCTTATCTATGTTGCTTAAGTTGCCGTTGTACTTGTAGAGAGGTTTGCAGTGCGGCAATTCTGAGCATACCTGAATCAAACGTCGCAGATACTCTTCTAATCGTTTTCTACGTTGTCGTGCGACGACTTCGTATTTTGAAAAAACTTGTCGGGGTGGAAAGCGTATTGCTGCTACCTGTGGCAATTATTCAAATATTCTAATTATTCTGAACCACTTGTTAGTAAAAGGTGCCTCAAAAGGTTCTAAATTAAACATTTACCTTGCTACCATATTTTTGTCGCATTGAAATATACAACTCCCGGAATCGTCTGTATCTACGTAGAAGTGTCCAACTATCATCTTGTGCCACGACACGTACCTCGTATTCGTAATGACTGGACTTACCAGCTCCACGTATCACGTAAGAAGGTATACTAACGATCATATTAATCACGCTATCGTAATCAGCGTCGTTTGCTATCAAAGATGGCAGAGACCTCGTGATTGTCAGGGAATACGGGCTACTCAATCGATCGCCCCGATTTTGACTCTAAAAATCAAACATATGAGTACACTTAATATGTCTACGTTTGATCCCGTTAACTCGAGGATTATTACCGTGAGATAGACTGTAGAGTAACCTCTTCCCGATGATATTCGAGGCTGAACCGATTCCGATAGATTCTCGTCGTCGTTGATATTAGGCCTGTTGTTCCTGAGGATCGGAGATCGCGTTGTGGCCACGGTCAACAACGTGGCGGAGCTATTCGTTGACTCTAAGTCACAACACGTACTATTTGTCTCCGTGTTTTGTATAAGGTCATTTACATCTACAATTGGCGACAATCTGTCGTTGTTGCACTCAGACTTGGATTGTTGTCTAACGTTTTTGCGTTCATCCTCCAATAAGGACACCTCTAGCTCGATCTGCTGCTTCTGGAGGTCTTGCAGGATCGCTATCTGCCTATTCAGATCTTCTTTGGAGGGCGAACTAGCTTCCAGACACCTCATCACCATCATTCGTTGGCGGGCGATTCTTTGGTTCAGTCGTTTCATTGCTGGATTCTGTTGCACCGGCGACTCCAGTGAATCTTGAGGAATATCCTCCTCTATCGTGGAATTCGTCGGTGACTTTGACTCCGTTTTCTCGCTGCTAGCACTGCCGTTACATTTATCCGTTTTTATTTCCACGGGAGATTTCCTGTTCAGGTTCAACGAACTTTTGCCCTCCGCTTCGGGTAGTTTCTTGTCGTTCAGCGGATCTTCTTGAGATACCTTCTGCGATTCCTGAGATTCTCTTTGCTGATTATTATCTAAAGATACGCGAGATTCTTCTTCGTGTGGATCTTGGAAGGGTATGCGAGGTTCTGGCGAGTCAGCCGCAGCTGTGTGAAACGTGTCAGCAGTCTCGATAGAGCTTGGAACATCTTGTGGCAGTAGACTCAAAGCAGAAGCTATTTGAAGTTTTCTATTACACGCATCCTGGAAGGATTGCGTCTCCCCGTTGGAGAAGATCTCATCACCGCTAGAGGAATGATCACCGGGTGACGCGGGTAAAGCGCGTTTCAGGTTCAACGAAAGACTCTGCTTTCGTCGTAGGATCTCTTGTAGCTGTTCTTGAGAACGTTTTGCTAGAATCAGCTTCTTCTCCGTGTTGCCTTCTCCCTCCAGCTGATACGAAGATTTATTATTAGCTTGATGTAGGGATATTGATTAATTTTAGACGTAGCTCACTTACTTCCAGGTTAATCATATGCTTTTGCTTCCTGGCTATCTCGATCAATTCTTCCTCCATCTTATCTACTTTACTCTGATGCTCGTTCAACGACTTCACCTTGTTTTGCAATTCCGTTTCTAGGACAGCCAGTTCTTTTTTCTGAAAGAGAAAGAGGATATCCTTAGTATATTAGTAACGCTTATCTTAGAATTTGAAATGTAGACTAACATAAATTGATATCATGACAGTAATATAATGTCAATTTGTACACGGTTCTAGATATACTTACGTGATGATTAACAAGTTCTCGGACCGCGTCAACGCATTTATCATCGTTCAAACTCGACCAGGATTCTGGCAAGCTACCATCGCTTCCAGCACCGTCATCCGTCTGAAATGGTACAGTTTCTTTTTAAACTAAAATCCTCGAGCTCTACGATTGAAAATCAACAGCGAAGATTAAACAGAAAAAAAAGAATTGAAAAACAAAAAGAGAGCAACGAAAGAAAAAGAAATAGGAGAGCCAAGATGCAGCTTCATGATCGCGTGCGATTAATCTATATCTTTTTTTTATTTATCTTTTCTTGTAGCTCGTGCTATTAATCTACAAGCTACAATCGTGCCGTGAAAATGTTGGAATTTCCTTTCTGTCGAAAACTCTTACCTTCTCCCACCATTGACGGAATCTTTGAGCGCGTTCGTGATTGTTCATGAACTCTTGAAACTGACGATGCTTGGATTGCAATGTTGTACGCAGAGAGGCAACTTCCCTACATAAACTTTCTACCTGGTACCACACACACACAGATATCGATGCATTAACAAAAAAGGATAACTGAAAGAAACATAGTTTAAGACGCGTCCCCGTTTTTTTATTTTACTTTTAGCCGCCTGTACGTTTTCTTCGTACTACGTCGACACGAGAAAACAACGCTCGGAAACTCTTTCACGAATCACCGTGTACAGATACAGTTATCGGTTACTAGAAAAAGAAAATAAAACACAGACAAGAGTAATTGTTCGACGGAAAATGTAAGAAACATGCCGTTTTTATGCATCAATAACACAGTTGACTCTCGTTATACTACCATAAAGGGAGGGAGTAAATTCTTGAAGTTGTAAAGTCTGGGAAAAGGGGACTAGTGTGAGGAGCTCCAACAATGTGGCAATATAACGAGAGTCCACTGTAACACGAAGGATACGTTAAAGGATGGTACAGGTTTTAACGGATATTACAATACAAAATGTTAACCCTTTCAGTGTTAAATTCTGACAAGATCATTCAATTAGCTTTAATCTTTCACTTAAAGGGTTAAAGAAAAGGAAATAATGGAGTATAGAAGTCCATTTATTTTATTTTAAGATAAAATATTCCTCTTTTCTCTTGAATAATTCGGACAAGTTAATTTTAATATGAAAGTAACTTAAATGAGGCGCGAGTACACTTTCTTTTTCTAAATAAATGGAGCTCTACTGTAAATGATCGCGATAATACATTACCTTAAACGTTTTCGGTTAGTTTAATTCCGCGTCAGCACTTGAGAGAAAAGTGCACGTGCGAACGTACCCCAAATTGTTAACAAAAGATGTACACTGGGTTTGTTAATTAGGACCGTGAATTCTCGAGTATTGTTACACTTAACGATTACCAGACAGTGTGAAATATTAGCTGCATAAATTAATTCGGTGCCCTTTGTTCCGCCGGAGATGAGAAACCTATTTTCTTTCTGGACGTTCTCCATTTACTTCAAACGTAAAATCGACAGTTATGTTCATGCAAGTCGTCAAAATTCCTGAACTTCCTCTCCAACATTTCTACAGCCACTTCTTAACGAATCTTCACCTAATACTTAATCAGTTTAACAACTCTTTACTGGACATATATTCTTCTTTAGTTAAGATTCAAAAGTACCTGAAATGCATCTTATTAGTAACAATAGTAAATTGATTTTTGTAATTATATTAATGATGGAGTTTTAAGAATAAAGACTCTCATAAGATACAATTTAAGAATAAATGTAAAGGCACCAAACTAATTTATACACCTAACAGAATAGATAATGTGCGTGCAATCGTATCGTGGAAGATCGAAGGCCAATTTTTGTAAGAAAAATTTATTAATCAACAGTTTATATATATATATATGTATATGTATAACAACAGTTCTCTTCTTTCTCGCATAACAAACCCATATAGACGTTCTATACAAAAAAACAAGCCCAGATATGTACATAAAAAGAGGTTTTCCTCTTCACCTTAACATCGTCTACAAGGTACATTAACGTATAACATTCCACGGAATGCCATTTGTCCGGCAATATCTCGTCAACACTGGCACTTTTTTTATTTCTTTTATACATTCAGGCAGCTTATGCGATAAGCTTGTCTGTCTAATTTATTTAAAATAAAAAAACTAAGCGTTATAAGTGTGAAGCGATTCTATTACAAAATTATACGCATCTCGTTCTTAGAAAAACCCGTAGTACCTGCTTGGAAAGCGAATAAATATACGAAGGAAATATTTATACAATTGAAAACGAGTTAACATCGTATTGGATAAATTATTTTAAAAGATGCGTTCATTTTTTTATACATTATTACATATGTTACATATTCAGGAGAGAATCCTGATCGATTGCTTTTAGAGCACCATTTTTTTAAGCCTTTTTAATCTATTATATCTAAAAGATCGGTGAAAAGTTTGAGCTCACCGTCGTTACCTAAAGTTAATTAATCACAAGGAGTTAGTAACTTTTGTTCGTTTCAATTTTTATAGTCTTTTTAGTAATGTACAGTTTTTGGGTCCTTTTAAAATTAAGTAGTTGCAATATGACCTAACATAGAACATCGTTAAATGTCTAAAAAAAAAGTAGTTCAATGTTTTGTGTTAGGTCAAGTTTATATTTTCAAAAAGACCCTCAAAAACTTTACACTAGCCTTGGTTTTGAAAATAATGCAAAAGTATGTGAAAGTAACTGTTCAACAGAAATGAAGTATCATTTCATTTTGCTTAAACAGAATAGCACGTAATTGAACACCGTGGACGGTCTCAAACTTTCGACCGGTAGCGCGTCTCGTTTCACTTGTAAAGTAGTGAATTGAAGAATAGTACAAGGAACGAGAAGGACGAGGACGTTCCTGACGATGCTACACACATTCTGGGTCACATGTTTAACGGGCAAACGTGCGAGTAGATGATGATGTTGCCAGACAAGCAAATAAGGACACCGAGAGCAATAAGGACGAGGTAGAATTGATACTTGATCGAGATTACGTTCAAGTCCGGAGACGGCGCGTCCGTGTCACTTACTTGCGTCATTTCGTCTCGTCGCTCTTGTTCCAGGAGATGACGTCTTGCGCGCAACTCGCGTTGTCGCGATTCAAGAGCTGCTATCGCATCGGCCCACTCTTTCCATTGGGCGCCCCATTCGCGTTCGAGTTCGCGTTGTGCGCCTTCCAGAGCCTCTCTTCTAGCGGCCCATCTTTCTTCCCGTTCCTCTTGTTCTCTCTGCAGAAAACGATCGCGAGTCTATTCAATGAAATAGTTTACAATGCTGGTTTACAATGAATACTAAAGCAATATGAATAGATAGGATACAGCTCTTGCTTAGACGAACCTTAAAGTCTTCCTTTTCCTTAATGAGGGCAGCCTTTTGCTGTTCCAGTTCCTCGAGTGCTCGGAGATCTTCGCTCGAATTTAAAAGGTTATCACTAGAGGACGAGGCGTGCAGATCCGAGACACTCCAGCTCAAGAGAGATAATCTTGAAAGATTGACGACCGTGGACTGCAAGTTACCGTTACCCGTTCCACCTTCCTTTCTTAGCTTCGCCGCCTCTGCCGGATCGTTATAGCGGAACATATTGTTCCTGCCCAGAAGAATGATACAACCTTGCGACAAACGCGTCGGTTTATCTACTTGGGCTGTGTTAATCCAGCAGTGAGGAGAAAGGGGATGAAGGGTTGCTACACCGTTGTCTAGCTCTACCACACAGTGTTCTGGCTCGACGTCCGCGCCGGTTAACACGATATCCTGTTTATTATATTATATTATACTCCTACGATTATTTGATCAACGACAAATTTGTAAAAGTATCTAAATTATAGATGAAACAGAGCAACAAAGGTAAACGTAGAATTCGTCACCTGCGTGGTTGGTGCCTCTTCCGTTCCGACTAACGTTCTACCCTCTTTCAAATGATACAACGTTACACCGGTGCTCAGGAGATCATCGTCGATTCCGACTAAGTGCGGCATTTCTGAGTCTAAGACTACGCCAACGCCGCTCTTACGGAGGCCTAATGCTTTTTGCTCTTGAAGAATCTGCTGTGTTTCTCGCCACTTTTCCGTCCATTCTTCCGTCAACACTTTCTCCTGTTCTTGTTTCTCATGAATCTGAGCCAACAATACCTGCGGTGGCCTTTCAACGCTCTACAAAGTACAACACAGTGAGCTTCTATTCTTAGACACAATACCTCTTTAATTTCTGACACATCGTCTTATCTCTGATACTTGCCATGTCTTTACCGATAAGAGACTTCAACTTCTGGATCTCTTCCCTGAGTTCTCTAATTAATTTTACATTGGGATCTTCGTTGATAGTGGGTTTATTGATGATATTTTTCGCTCGGTTCGCGTACCTGAGCGTACTCAGAGTCTCCCCGTAATTACAATCTGCTGGACTAATAGCAGCTATCATAATAGTCTTCGAATTACCTCCAAGCGAATCCTTTAGCAACCATGTTAGCACACTGTCTCGGTAAGGTATGAAAACGTTCCGCTTTGAGGAAGAAGACGCATCGCTCGCGGAACTTACTTCCGCAAGTGCCGATATCACAGAACCTAAAGTCACCAATGACTTATTAATGTGCGCACCCTCTTTTAGCCGTTGGCCTGTCGCTCCTGTTGCATTTGCACGTTCGCTACAAATAGACACACATATCAATCATTGTTATTTTACTTTGTTTAACTAAATAAGTAGATCCCTACACTATGTGGACTCATCGGTGACTTATGTATCAAAAGCAAGTGACGAAAAATATTAAAAGTACATCTCAACTCATCAAATTTTAAGAATCCCTAATTAATGCAAAGACAAAGAAAGATCTTGGAAAACTGATTTCTCTTATCTTTCATAGCAGCTGTGCAGCTGTACCGATAAAATATTTTACATAAATCTTTTGTCCAGACTTTCCGATGACTCAAAATAAAAATAAAGCTCTTGGACAATCGACTACCTTCCAGCCAAGTCGACGAGATGCACCTTGGAAACGGTCTCTGACGGCATATTGCCCTCAGAGAGTCCAGCTTGCACAAACGTTATCGTAAAAATCGCGTGACTTCTGCTGCTCACGTCGTTCATGTTTGTGCTGGCTGTAGTTCTGTGCGTGTTACCTCTCACCATACATTCCTGCAAGTAACCGGCTCTTTGAAGTGTGTCTCGTAAGTGGTAGAATGAGAGACAGGAAGAAACGGCTGGGTTCATTTACCTGAATGTCTGAATAATCGTACACGAGGTGGCTGGACAAGTCTTGAACGTAGGGTCCTCTTTTAGGATGCTCCCGCACTCTGAGCGAATGAGACTGTGACTGATCCAGCCGCAGCAAATCTCTCACTCTCTCGTTGTGTATTTCCAGGAAGGATACCTCGGTTCTATACGATGCTCCGCTCTCTTTACCCGCAGCCATTCTGGCGAACAATGTCTTACAAATCCTTGGTATCAATCCCTGAGCCTCCTGTTAATACAACACAACAAAATTATACACTTGGTTCCTTACATTCTTGGTAAAGGAAAATCAATGAAACTAGCTGTGAAAGTTTGAATTTAATTTTATGCATTTTTTCACCGTACCCGTTGCGACAATCGATAGTCACGCATACAAGCCTGTTAACATGTTAATTAAATGCTTATGAAGTTTCTATGATTTTGCCTTTTTGTCTTTCAGAAAGAGCTATACAACTGGTGGGATTTTCTGACAGTAATGGGAATTAAATAGTAATTACGTAGGAAAACTCTACGGTTTTACAGTCTACTGTTTACATCATTTTACTAGATCTTGATATCCCTCTATTCTTAGATACATCCTTAGATACATGTATGCGTATATTTCTAGGTCTCAATTTCTTCAAGTCTCTATACTGCTATTGATAGATATTTATATTTGAATATTTATACGTAAGTATATTCTTACATCCCAAATCTATACGTCTATACCTTTAAAGCACTACACCCTTAAATCCCAATAATCCCAGTTATTATTTATATGTGTTTACGGCCGTCAGTCAACAATAGACGTCATATGATACAATCATTTCATAATCTTATTTTAAGCAGTATAAGATTTGGCAGTGCAATGAAGTCCTTCTAATAAGTCGGGGAGCGGTGAGAATATTACCGGCGTGCCCATCATCGTAAAAGTCTTCCCAGACCCTGTCTGGCCGTAGGCAAAGACGCAGGCATTGTAGCCTTCGAAGGCACTTTCTATTACGTCCGTACCAAGATCATAGAAAACCTGAAAAAATGAATCAGTTATTTATCATATTTTTTATCACGGGAAGTATGGTTTTAACGATGAATCAAAAAGGACAACGCTTATCAGGTTTAAAGATAGCACAGCGCACCTTACGATGTACCAACTGCACCCATTGGCGGAGCAATTATAATGGTACACTTGAGAGAATTTTAACGAGTCGCCAAACGAATCAGGAATGTTAATGATTGTCGAGTAATTAAATATACGGTCATTAGTTTGTCTGTGGATAAATAGAAAGTGTTTTATGTCTTATGTAACATGTAATTGCTTGCAAACGTGTGACGAGAGAGAAGAAATATTTATCTCTTTTTTAAATTGAAATTATTTTGTTGCATCGAGAAGTTAATGTCGAAAGATACATGCGGTTTTGTTGTTATTCGATGCATCAAAATACTCGTGTTTTCAATTAGAACCTGTTCTTACGACAATGGTTACTATAACCGGTACACTCACGCTGCTATTCTACTTTAATTCTGATCGTGGCTCATCGTCAAAACATTGCTTAATCTTATCTCGAGAATTAATTGATTCCAATTATACATATCTTGTTCAAGCAGATAACTAATTTATGCAAAATATTTTGTAAATTGTATCAATTATTTTATGTATAATTAAATTTACTTGTGCATATTTTAGGCAATAGGGCATATAGGAGATTGCAAGTACGGAAATCAGAAGTAAGAAGTAATGTACACCTCTTCCTGGGACGCATAATTCTCGTCGTTCGCGTCGAAGGACCAGTACGAGTGATCGAACGTGAAGTCTTTGTATTTCTCTCTGTCGATTTCTCTGCAACTACCTGGTGTCTGAAAATAACACGGAAACCGTCAGAATAACATAACATTAATTACCTACTAACAATACATTAATTACTATAAATATAATTATTCGATTTCAATAGATTAAAATCGATTATAATGAAAATTAAATTTGGCGCGAATCAGAAACCGATGCATTGACTGATGACAAAGAAGCGCCATCATTCACAAGTGGCTGATAAACTTTAAGCCGTTATGTCACGTGCATTACTTAGGCTGCATCCCACATAACTAATCGTATACTATCGAGAACCATTCCAAGCGTTACGCAACAAAGCGAGCAATTAAAAAAGTAAAACACCTTATGTTTATCCATCATGCAACCCACAATAAGCACGAGAGCTAAGCTGAGGATCATTATCCTTTGAGAATCACGTACACTCGATAGTGCCGCAATAAACTTGCGGAGTTCCTGAGAAAATGATGAAACGTTCGAATTATCATTAATCGTTTCGAATCTCATTAAACCACCCTCGTTTATCCTCGTTTCAGTACTAAACGATCAAATTATATTTATAAAAAGCAACATCAGCGGGAGGTTAGTAATTAGCGATTCACGCCACTGTGGAATAGAATGCATTACGATTATCGTAATGGAATTGTGTATCGATAGATCGTTAAAATTCACGACGCATGCGCAGCATCGTTGTAAACCTGTTTTACCACACTACCGATAAAACGGGAAACGAGTCTTATGCTAATTACCGAGGTTAAATAAAAAGTTGTGTGCATAAATTGATCTTGAAACAAGAGATAGATCGCCAAGAAAAAAAGAGAAGATTCGTAAATGCATCTTTGAAGAAAAAACTTATTAATCTCTTATGTTAAACGAAAATAAAAGTTATTAATGTACACAGGTTAATCACATTCATTCGAAAGCATCGAGCAAGGATAATAATAATGTTTTGGAAATCTAGAGGTGCTGTTATCGATTATCACAATCGATATCTTATTGATACTTATATCTGAATTATAATTTTAAGCAATAATAATTTGAGTTGACTAATAAAACTGTGTGCCAGGTTAGGTTAGATTACATTAGATCAGGCTAGGTTTTTGTTTCAAGTTTAAATGAGGTTATTGGATTAGGTTGTATTTTATCATTCAGGTCTACTTGCTCTTATTTGTACCTCAAATATGATCTAGCCTACTTTCAAACAAGAATAATTTAGATCCGAATGATAACATTACGTGTTACGTTCTAATTCACTCGCTCATTCTCGTTATCGATATTATCGATATATCGCATTATCGGTAACATTTCGATATTATCGATAAACTCATTCGTAAAAAATTTTCACGTGATTAAGCGTGTGTTAATCACGATAGGATTGGTCAGTTTTGTGGTTAGAATCGTGCGACGGAAAGCGACTCGTCCAGGAGTGGTCCAGCAATGATTTTCGCACTTTCTCCGATCAGATGACGTGCCGTTCGCTATCTTACTCGCGAGATCTCGGTCAGAGATTTTGCTTTGATGAGCATGGATATCAATGACGTAATACGAAACAACAAATAATAATCTTGAACCGAAAAGAAGATTCGGCACGTTCCTGAACGACACAAGCACGGTTGCTATGACGTTTAATGGGTCAATAGCCGAGTTTGTTCGAGCAGAAATTATGACACGGAATCGAGCACGAGAAGCATTTTAGTACAGCGCGGTCAATGGTTGTTCGCAATGAAAAAATATCGTTCACTATTTAGAAATCTTTTTAGAAAGTTTGTTTGCCGTCATTAAGGACAATGCATAGGATTGGCAGGAATTGTTTATCGTGAACGGCGCACAGAGAGAGAGTGGTTTTCAAGCTAAACACGTTAACGGTTTCGCGCAATCTTGAATACGATTTATTTTGAATATCGTGCTACCTTGGTATTGAAGATACGCGTTTTCTTGCCATCCATTTGCACGATCATCTTCGCGTTCATCGCCAGCTCCCTGCAATATAAAGCGACAAATTCACACGCGTATCTCAAAGTTGTACACTCGAAATATTCACGAGTAGTTGTTTCGAACTGCAGAGACAAAGGAAACAAAACATCGAACGTAACACAGGAAGTACATGACAATAACGTTATATACGGGACGAATGACAGCAGGTGGCAGAATCTTGTTGCACAGTCGTCGTCGCATCGGGGGTCGATCGAAACCATATGATTGATCGTCCCACAGAATTCAAGTTACACTCGATGTTTCAACTAATCACGATCAAGCCAGATTTCATAGGATACATTCCTAACTGCACTGTCATCGAAATTTCGAATCAGACCTTGACTCGTTACACGAGCCATAGGAATCGCTAATTACGTTTGAAAAATGACCTCTGCATCGAATCAAATTATCGCGAACCGTCGATGAATCGTCACAGGGGTTATCACCAGTTGCATTAAACGCACCTTTTGTTAAAAGGACGAACTCTTACGGCTACCTTCACTGAAGCCATGGCTACGAGGAGCGCATGGACTGTTAGGGATGGTACACCGTGCAATTAGTCACGTTTTTTCGTTCCGTTTTCGACTCGCGTTACGCGAACACGAAATTCTTCGCGTCGTTACGTAGACAGTACATCGTCGACGGGTCTCGCCGTGCTACGAAACGTCGTCGTCGTCGAGCATCGCACGCGACTCGCTCATTCTCGTTATCGATATTATCGATATATCGCATTATCGGTAACATTTCGATATTATCGATAAACTCATTCGTAAAAAATTTTCACGTGATTAAGCGTGTGTTAATCACGATAGGATTGGTCAGTTTTGTGGTTAGAATCGTGCGACGGAAAGCGACTCGTCCAGGAGTGGTCCAGCAATGATTTTCGCACTTTCTCCGATCAGATGACGTGCCGTTCGCTATCTTACTCGCGAGATCTCGGTCAGAGATTTTGCTTTGATGAGCATGGATATCAATGACGTAATACGAAACAACAAATAATAATCTTGAACCGAAAAGAAGATTCGGCACGTTCCTGAACGACACAAGCACGGTTGCTATGACGTTTAATGGGTCAATAGCCGAGTTTGTTCGAGCAGAAATTATGACACGGAATCGAGCACGAGAAGCATTTTAGTACAGCGCGGTCAATGGTTGTTCGCAATGAAAAAATATCGTTCACTATTTAGAAATCTTTTTAGAAAGTTTGTTTGCCGTCATTAAGGACAATGCATAGGATTGGCAGGAATTGTTTATCGTGAACGGCGCACAGAGAGAGAGTGGTTTTCAAGCTAAACACGTTAACGGTTTCGCGCAATCTTGAATACGATTTATTTTGAATATCGTGCTACCTTGGTATTGAAGATACGCGTTTTCTTGCCATCCATTTGCACGATCATCTTCGCGTTCATCGCCAGCTCCCTGCAATATAAAGCGACAAATTCACACGCGTATCTCAAAGTTGTACACTCGAAATATTCACGAGTAGTTGTTTCGAACTGCAGAGACAAAGGAAACAAAACATCGAACGTAACACAGGAAGTACATGACAATAACGTTATATACGGGACGAATGACAGCAGGTGGCAGAATCTTGTTGCACAGTCGTCGTCGCATCGGGGGTCGATCGAAACCATATGATTGATCGTCCCACAGAATTCAAGTTACACTCGATGTTTCAACTAATCACGATCAAGCCAGATTTCATAGGATACATTCCTAACTGCACTGTCATCGAAATTTCGAATCAGACCTTGACTCGTTACACGAGCCATAGGAATCGCTAATTACGTTTGAAAAATGACCTCTGCATCGAATCAAATTATCGCGAACCGTCGATGAATCGTCACAGGGGTTATCACCAGTTGCATTAAACGCACCTTTTGTTAAAAGGACGAACTCTTACGGCTACCTTCACTGAAGCCATGGCTACGAGGAGCGCATGGACTGTTAGGGATGGTACACCGTGCAATTAGTCACGTTTTTTCGTTCCGTTTTCGACTCGCGTTACGCGAACACGAAATTCTTCGCGTCGTTACGTAGACAGTACATCGTCGACGGGTCTCGCCGTGCTACGAAACGTCGTCGTCGTCGAGCATCGCACGCGACGCACAACATCGTTCTCAACACGCTCTCTCGACAGACGGACGACTGCTGGCGAGCCGCTGTCCGAGACAAAAAGTTGCGTCCCCGCGCATGCGCGTACGCGCGCGGATCCCTAATTTCAAGTGATCCGCGCATTTGCTTGTTTTTCGTGACGGCGGATGGAAAACACGGCGGAAACCAGCACGGGAGAAAAGCGTAAGCAAGTGGGAACGATACGTGGACAGAGATGGAACGGAAACAGGGAACAGAGGGGAAACCGTGGCACGAAATTGCAGAAAAAGAAAGGGACGGTCAAACAGGTTTTATATTCCCCTTCTACGGAATGTGACGTCACCTAGGGATCGGTTGGTATTGCAGTGGTGGAGAGTGAACGGAGAAGGCGAGGAGCCGCCACCCACGCAGCCCACCGACAGAGCTAAATCAAACGCTTTGCGGTTTTCTCTTAAGCGCGTAACGGCGGTTGTACGCAGAATTCATGTCGTTTTGTTATCCAGCTGGAGATTACGCATCACCGCTGGGCACGGATCCAGGACAAGAGTTAGATAGTAGGCACCTGCCTACAATCTAACCTAGAAGGGCGCCAAAAATTTGTATGTGTAGTGAAGTTATAATAAAAGTGTCTATACTGTTTAAAACTTAATCATATATTTCTAAATATTCAAAACGACACTTGTATAAAATATTGAAGTATAGGATACACGTATATAGTGTATGTAGGCACGAATCTAACTGTGCATAAAGGACCCAAGTGCATTGAGATCTTTCTTGCATCCGAGAGTACAATTACAAATAGAATATATGTCATAGGAGGCGCTAAACTCGTCGAAACGAGTTTGCTTATACGGCGGGTCAGCGCACCTTCTTGAAACTTTGGCACAAACTCGTAAAAGGATGAAATATTTCAACGAGATGTATTTATCATGTTCCGACCTGCTGCGATTTAACTACCTGCCAGAAAACGAGTCCGACAGTATCTTACGCGGGCTTGCATGTAATTTGTCTCGAGTAGGATCAGTGATCTGTGGTCAGCAGCGTAAACAGTTTGGCTGTATCATTGACTGCGTTAAATTAGGATCTCGTTCCTTCGAAAATGAATCTACGTGGGAGACCATTGATACTTTTCGCCGAACGCGCGAAAATAAACGTGATTCAAAACGAGTTTTAAACAATTTGCTCTTGAAACACTCGTTCGGCGTTAAAAATAAATTTTTGTTTGCTTTACGTTCCAATAGAGTTTCGGCGAACACGATTTCGCGAGAAATGTTGCAAATTTCTGTTACAAAATATTATAGTCGAGAACGTGCTCGAGCTAACGGTAACCTGTACTCGAATTCTGCTGCGGTAATTATAAAATCGGTACTTGACACCGAGGAGTGCGAATATAAAATACGAGTATAAAGTGGGAGCCTTGAAAAGTCAAGTTATACGATATGTTCGGTGCATAATGATTCATAGCCGATTGAACTGACGTAACTGTGCCTACGCTACGGTACCGCTGCTACAGAGAAAAAAAACGTGTCGAATCTCGTGATACTGTTTAGGCAAGACACTTCCCATGGCACCAAATACGGCCACGTGATCGTCACTTGCCCATTCTCGTTGTCCCCTATCATTATTATTCAAACGTGCGGTCGCAACGGAAAATGACTGTAGATAAATTCAAACCGATACGATTAAAACCGTCGCTTCGATGTAGAGGTTATGCCATAAAAAATCATTTATCACCAATGCAACGTTAAAAGCATTCCATCACCTTATACCTATTATCTTTTCATTTATACGTTTAACGTCGATTATAATTCAATTGAAGTCCACTATAGTTAGCACGTATTAATTTCATACTAACGAACGTAGTGAACGTACTCGATCCGTTAATACGATTTAAAACATTTACATTTATTTAACTTTGAGAGAAAGACCAGAAATATGTAAACGAGTAAAATATTTTTCAGTATATTTTTATGAACAATGTTTATTATTTCTTGGTTAAAAAGGAAGGTTACATCACTTATTTGCAATTTTCTATTTCTATAGTGTTCGCTGAAAACGTTTTCATAACGTCACCAAGGAATAGAGCGCGTGAGTGCGCCGAATAGCGATATAGCAATAAAAAGAGAATGCTGCGTATGGACCTCCTATATACTTGCCCTATTACGCATGCGCAGTAACAGAAATGCGTGTATCACGATGAGTAAGGCCTATAATTTTTTGTTCAATACCTGCATACAGTTCAATGTTAAATTCTTTAATCATATAAGTATATATCCTATCAATAAAATGCCACTCTTGGAAGTTACGAGGCTTCTACATTACTTATTATCGAGCGTTTTAAAATTTCGCGCGTAACTGATCACTGAGTGACTGCGCATGCGCGGTTAACGACCTTGAAAGTTCAAAGCTTTCAAATTTTTAAACTTTATGACCTTAGAACTTTTGAATCCTGCAATATTTTAATGTTAGAATATTGTAATTTTGGAATCTTGCAATTTTAGGGCTTTGAGTTTGAAATTTTAGAACCTTGAAAGTTCAGTATTTTGAGAATTGTTGAATCAGGAAATTTCAAAAATTTAGAACTTAAAAATTGTTGATCCTTGGAATCTTCATGTCCTACACATACGATGATGTACCTTCCAAATTTAGCAAGTGCTGCCACATCAGGTTCTTTGAAGAACAACAATGTACACTACGTCGGTAACATAGACCGATGTGCTCGGTCGGTAAAAAAGAATAATGATTGGGGCGACAACGACGCCGTACGGTGGCGCGACTAGTCAGGCTTAGTTCGTTTGAAAAGCGAAGCCGAGCATCAGTCGGGTGGCAACTGTCGAGCATGTGTGTCGTGCCTCGTGCTTCTTTGATCGCGTCTTAAAATCGCACGTAGAACGCAATTGCATGTACACCCCGGTACGCGAACAAACGACAGACAGTCCGCGAACATGTGATTTTGACAGAGAATACGGTTCGACGACGCTGATAAACGCGTTAGTGAAAAGTGAAGGTTTTCCTGGCCGGATATATCGTCACCCTGCAGCAGCCTCGTTCAAGGGGGTGGAGAATAATGTTCTGAGCCGTGAGCCACGCACATCATGGTTGCTAAGCACTTTACGCAGGGTAAGTTTTTAACTGTTTTTGATATTATGCCGCTTCACGCCTCTACTTTCTCGCTATTTAGATAAAAACGATGATATATTCAGGATCGTTGCGTACCCTGCAGGAAAGAACACACACGTACATAACGTCTATGGTGCACCAATACGGTGTGTGATGGGTGGTGCAATTCGATAAGGATAATAACAGTTGGACTAGCAGGATTGATTCCCTTTTTCTCTGTTATTACGTGTTCGTAGTTTATATTACGGTACAATGTTATTCCCGTACGTAAGGATAATCGTCTACTCGAAAAATTCCCTGATAGAAAATATCGATTATTTACTGTGGTAAACAGTGATAGTTGAAGCGAAATTTGTCAGCGCGAGATTTTAACGGTACATGGGACAGGATGCGTAGTGTACCTTTTTCATGCGCAAGGCTCGAAGACAGTTTATATTTTCATCACGTTTTTGAGTAAAGGTCGTTCGTCAGGGCGGAGTAGCATTGACCGATTGTTCTAGGGGATAAGCTGGAGCTTGCGTGAGGGCCTGTGTCAAGTTCGTAGCAGCTTTTGAACCATTCGATCGTTCGATACTTCATCGATCGGTTATCTCGTCTCTCGCGTACCTTTTTAAATACCGTGTTTACATAACATCACCGAAACGAAATCAAAAATATTTTATCATATCTTTTATACGAAACATTTTATAATAAACTTCATGTGTAAACTGACTTCTTTTGTGACCGTAGTCGGTGCAGTAATTATTTGAAATTTGAAACTAGAATTTCATTTACTTTTTAACGTATGTGCTATACTTACCCATGTTTAAACAACGATGATACAATGTTACTGTTGTTTAGCTTAACCGATTATCTTTGATTTACAACGCGACATCTGGTGGTTTCTTGGTATGCGTAATCTTCGACTACAGATTGTCCTTAATGCCGGGTCATCACGCACTGCAGGTGCGAACGTTACTTTTCTTCGCAAGAGGTTGATTAACGAAGGAGATGCACAATGGTGCGCGATGATTCCTTCCGCTCTGAATCCGTCAACCCTTCCTTCTTCTATATATATCCGCAGTGCAGTGATACGTCCTGGGATTTCCATCTTTCAGGTCGTTTCTTTTGAATTCTTTTATCGTATCGATCGATAAAGAGCACGCGTTCCTACGCACTTTTGAATGAAACTCTTTATACGCTCTAATATACAATTTCATACAAGCTGAACATCGAAGTAACCGACTTTTACGGTGCTTTAACGGTTTCCCCGCTTTATTTCGAAATGCATATTGAAACCTCGGTTCTTTCGACAGAACGGTCGTAAACTGTTTCACATAAAAAAGTCCGTTTTCGTAACGTAAGTCCAACGGTGCACGGGTGGTCAACTCTGTCATATCGCTGGTATATTGTCAGCATTCATAGTAGTTTGATGCGTACGATACACATGTATCATGACGCCAGTCGAGTTATCGTGTCGCGTACGATAGAACCACTTACGGTACAAATGTACGCGTGTATTCTATACATGCATTTCCGATCGAGGGTGCAATGCGTCTAGTAAGTAATAATAAACGTTAATTTTCTTTGTCTAGCAGTATATTACTGTTCCTCTTTGTTTCGACGAGTTTCGAATTTTAACTCTCCAACTAGGAACCGAGCGCGCCCGATTTTTGCCGAGCCGATCCGAAGTCGGACGAACATTTTTCTATCGTTATCCACGTGATTCAGTTAGGTAGTAATATTTGCATTTATGATCGGTTATAAATAGCATGTCATATTTCACCGGAAGCCAGTTTCACGCATGCATAATCGATTCAATAGATCCTACATGACCCGCGAGATTAATCCTCGTACGAATTTTTCCTCGACCGTGTCTAATATCCACGGGTAATAACTTGTAGGGTTCTTCGAAATTCGATTTACGTTGACCCAGATCGTCACCCTGAGAAACTTTTCCTCGGTAGACGCGTGTAATATCGTGCACATCTCGAGTGAGTCATGGCAGCATCCTGGTAGGCAGGTTTCCCCGGAATTTCGTTCTTGTCGAATGAATCACCGTATACCTTTAAAAAAAGTATATTTCACCGAAGAAGGTGATGTGACATTCTTCCGAAACTTTCTGATACGATTGTGATTCTATTGAACATACTGACGTCTCGAAGCGTTCTTCGTACACTTTTCGGCCAGGTTACTCCGGTGTTCTTGTGTATGATAATGCCGCGAGTTAATTATTTCCTCCCGTTGTTACGTGTCGTCGACCTCCCTGAGAACTCTTCTGCTGGTCGAATCGTTGCACGAAAGCTTCTTGATCACCGTGAATTTTTTTCAAATACAAAGTAGTAAAATAATGATAGGAAGGCAAAATGTAAGGCGATGTATTTAATGAAACTGTACCTAATGAGTACATTATATCTGGACCATAAAATGAAAATCAGTAAAAGGCAAAATATAAGGCACTGTATTTAATGAAACAGTACCTAATGAGTACATTATATCTGGACCATAAAATCAAACTCAGTAAAAGGCAAAATGTAAGGCATTCTATTTAATGAA